TACCAGGAGGAACATTTTTCAGGAATACTTCGAGCAATGCTATTGTAAAACTTATTCGTTAAGTTACTATAATATGTATTTGGCTTCTTACGATGATATTTGTAGAAAAACAGGGTATGATCTAAGTGTTGAAACTTTTTTCAATATAGTTCAGTCAAGTAACCGTTTTCTATGTTATATAGATTTCTAAATTCTCCATCTCATGAAGAGAAAGTTTCAACACCTAAAGTGCAATTGGCTCTTTGTTGTTTTCATAATGCATGCATTTTTTATGTGAATACTTCGTCACACAGGAAAAACAGATTGAGAATGTACGTGTCCAAAATATCATCAAACTCCAACAGTTGGATAATACTATCCACGATAAGTTGGTCCAGGCTCAAATTAGGAAAGAACAAATCGAACAAGAGCAGAAGAATAAACTGAGGAGTCTCGTAAGTATCTTTTCCACTTATTATCACGTCACTACGCTTCTCCATGTTGCTTTTCATGCATTCCACCAAGAGGTGGAAGCAATCGTAGAATCATTTCTTCCACAATTCATCTTGCCTGACAATTTGTGGACGTTCAATAAGAAAGGATTTTCAAATATTCCAAGTGGGGCGCCAGCTGCGGGGGAAAACGCGCCCATAAAACAAAATGATCTTTTCATCACTGTTTATCCATGCCCTTAAATTTCCGGTGGGTGAATTTACATTTAGTATTAGCGTTGCACCCGTACGAAGCCTGGGCGGGACGCTAGTAGGAAATACGAGTATAGTATATACAAAGTCAATTCGAATAGCAAAAAAACTAAATAGTTACCGAACATTGGCAGTTTCTTTGTATGGCATGGGCGGCGTGGTATAATGAAATAATATGGTGTAATTTAATTTTTCATAAACCTACACCGATTTATTTTATTACTTCTGAAGAGTTTTTCCATTAGTCTTTCATTTATCTGTTTGGTATGATTTCGTATAGACTACCTCGAAACCTTCGATCTGATGACAGAGAGCCAACATTATAGATTTCTTCATTCTTCTCAAGCATCTCTCAGAATTAGGTTTTTCAGCAAAATTGGTGAAACTCATGTCAAACTACCTACTTGATGTAAAACAATATGTAGAGTATGACGGCTTCAAATCTGCTTTGTATACTCCCAGTTCCGAAGTGCCCCAAGGCTCGAATTTAGGACCTCTTTTGTTCTTGATTTTCATTAATGATTCAACTAAAATAATAAACAATTCAAAACTGCTCTACGCTGTTGGCCTTAAAATATTCAAGGTGATAAAAAATTATGGAGACTGCTTAGACTTACAGTATGAATTAGATCTGATATATGATTGGTGTTCCAATAATCGTTTGAATTTCAACATTGCTAAATGTCACGTATTGTCTTTTTCCAAAAAGGAAAGTCTCATACAATTTACTTACGAAATTGATAACAATACCATAAGTCGACTTAATGAAATGGAAGACCTTGGCGTTAATTTTGATCAGAAATTCACTTTAACATTTCCTGTAATTGGGTGTACACCTGTTGGAAATGAAGTGCTATCTATATATCTATCTATCTATCTATATCTCCTTTTCCATCTTCTATTCCCTGTTCGTCCCTGGAGTCTGTGTCAGTCATTATTACTTCAGTAATTATTCTTTCATCAGCATCATCCAGTGTGTTACATTGATTTTGTTCGTCAATCTCAGGACTCTGCTGTGATGGTTTGGCCGGTTTCCAGAAAGTTATAATGAATCACACCAGCGCCTGAACACCATACAGTGATCATGGTCTTATTATAGAAAGTTTTTGCTTTTGACAAGTGCTTGGCTGGCTCATCGGTGTCCTATCACTGTCCTGAATGTCTCATTTTGTCGTAGAGGATCCACTTTTCATCACACAAAAGAACGTGACATTAAAACGGACAAAACTTCTGATACAACGTAATATTTCAATTCAAATGATCTGTGATGTATTAGATCCACATTCGAATACATATTAGACAATAATGAATACCCTGACCTTCTACTTGATGAAGATTATTGAATATTATCAACACTTTCCATGATAGTAATCATAGAATTTACTCAATCAATTTTTTAAAACGCGTTTCGCCATGCGGTAGCTTCATCAGTTAGTGGTACATCAAACTATTCAACAAAACTTTGAAGAATGTTTACATCTTAGAAATGTGAGCAAATCATTTACTACAGTTGGGATTTAGTAAATGCAATTGCCTTGACATAGATTTTTTTCCCAATCGTATCAAAATTAAATAACGTTTTTGAAAAGTAGTTTTTCATACCAGTTGTGTGAAATGTTTTGATCGAATGCATTTGGGCTCTTTCAGTTGATGGTCAATGATGATTCACACTTAGGTAATAAATTGATACCTCATTTGAAATTAAACAGCCACAGCGTTTTCCGTATAAAAGGGTATTGATTCAAAAATTCAATATTACTGAAACAGTTGATTTCTCATTGGAAAAAACTGAAAATTTATATTTACCTGCCCCACTTGAAGAAAAATTTACATCTGAATTTTCACCCAACACCTTATTTCCTCAAAATGAAAGAGAGAAACAGTCCCCTCGAAATTGATACCAGCACGCGAGAAACACTATAAACGAGGATTGATTATCTGTAACTGAAATATGCCCTGATGATGACTATTTCTGTTTCAGGAGAAACGAGCTGAAATTGTTCGCCAGAACAAAGCCAACATGATCGTCAACAAGATGGTCCCATCTTCTGGTTAGAAATTGAAATTGTAGTTTGGATCCCACCCAATATCATTGCTTATACTAAATTCACTCTAACCCAAGTTTTGCTTTGAGGTGTCCTCTTGGTGAAGGTGTTTTCCTTTCTATAGTCTGAAACACATTGTAAATCAAGTATTCGAACCCTTGACTCTTGAGATGCTCAATATTATGACCCTTGAATTTATTTTCTTACCAGGTACGTCGATAGCGAAATGCTATACTTTCAGTGTGACTCGGACTATTGGGTCAACACAATTTTTGTAATCTTTACTTATTCTTGAAACGGAATGTTTATTTTTAGATAGGAGAAATATATTATAATTGATATGTTCCAAAATGACCAGCTAGCTTTAGCAGAGTGTGGATAAACCAACTGAGCTTTCGATAATTTAACGCACTTCTCCACTTACATTGGGTTCAAATTATGGTTTTGATGAATTTGCAAAATTACACCTACTTTGCATTACATTCAAAAATGAACAAATGAATGATATGATGATTTTGAGGGCACACATATGTATACCATATTGAAGTAGATTGTAGAAATATCTTTGTAGTAATTCACTGCAAGGATCGCTCTTTTTTAGAATTGGATCCAAACAATCATAACTCTTAAACAGGAGTTTACTCAAATGAATGAAAAGCTCTTAATTGAGAAGTTTGGTTCCCAACCTGTGTGTGGATCTATTACATTATTCTGATCTACTCCTTGTCCTAACACTACTTGGTCAATATGGCTACTTACCATATTTGGTCACTATGACCAAATATTTCTTCAATCACAATCAATTTGTTGTTCAATCAAGTGATTGCAGTAGAACCAGAAATTATTTTGAAGACATTCATCCTTAGCTAACTATGAAACATTTTTTTTAAGTTCTGAAGAGGAGTGCGATATATCAAATATAGTATTTGTAATATTGATAATACAACCGCCTAATGCTGCCTTTTTATAAACTTTTGTGGTGACTGAAAAGAAGATATGTGCTTTTGCTGTGGAGATTTTGGAAAATTTTGTTCAAAATACTTTTGGAGAAGCAATTTTCAGATAGTGTAACATTAAAACAATTTCATGATGAAGAATGTAACTGCAGTTTTGTTCTATATGACCATTTTCAAACTAAAACAATACAAACTCACCATGACACGTGTTTTGATCACCAAGTGATCATCTTTAGTTTAATCTTCCTCTTGAAGATGATCACTTGGTGATCGAAACACGTGACGAGGTGTTAAAATAACGGTTTGGTGTTGGGAAAAAACTTCAGTGATATTTATTACTATACCAAAAGTTCCAAACAGTGCGTCACAACTAAATATAAATTCATAGGTGAAATTCAAAATGGGTCCTGTTCGTTTTCTTGTGAATGAACAAAATTTTCCCAAAATCATTATTCTACTGGCTTCTGTGATGAGTTATGATTTTTTCAAAATGGGTTTATCGTAAGATATAGATATAAGTATGTAACAATTAGGTATTGTCTAGGTGTTTTGTAAGCTTAATCTTGTGGAAAGGTTCGATTTTGAACAGCAGCTATTATTGGTTGGTGAATAAGTTTGGAGTTCTGCTTCTTAACAATATGAGTTTGTTATCAAAATTTATTCTTGTTGCGGTTAAGTTTTCATGTTATGTATTTTGTTTTTACTAATGATGCCTAATAAAAAATTGATAACGATTGTGGTTTTCAATTCATTATTACTTAATCACGTAGTGACGGATATAATGGTAATGGTAAAATTTGAAATTTACAAAACAAGGTTGAAACTCACTTGTAAAAAAATATGCGAAATTTATAAAATTAATACATGTCAATGTAATCAAAACAAATCACACTGAGTTTAAAAAAACATTCAAATTTGTTTAAAATATATTTACCGGTATAAGACCATGTGCTTAGTACCAAAGAGAGAGAGAAAAGGAACACGACAATGACATCTGTCATGGAATTCAGTTTAAGAATATTTTTGTCTATGTTGAAACTATGGAACAATTGGAACAGTTCTGGTGTAAGTGTGATGAGAGCCATCTGCTAGTAATGTATGCCTAGCAATGAGAAAACCCAAGTCATTTGTATCAAACTTTAAATTTGATTACTAGAATTCACAATTTATTTGTGTGAAGATAAAATTATTATTTTATTAAGGTAAAATATTGAGTAATGACTGAAAATTGGATCTGAAAGTAATGCTCTAATGAAGGGCAATATTTTCCTCAATGGTGAAGTCATTCCATTTGGATCGGAGGTGAAATATCTTGTCATTGACCTAGATGAAAAACTCAGCTGGAACGCTCACTTGAAAAAAGTTTTACACAAAGCCAGACTCTCCCTATGGACATGTCGAAGGATTTGTGGCAAAACTTGGGGTTTAGGTCCCAAACAAATCCATTGGATTTATGTGATGATTGTCAGACCAATGATCACTTATGGTGCGATTGCCTGGTAACCGAAGGCTTTACAGAAAACGGCTCAGGCGAAGCTATCTGGCTTACAGATACAGGCTCGTTTGGCCATCAGTAGTACCATTAGTACCACACCGTCAGCGGCCATGGAGATCCTTTTAGATCTACCTCCTTTCCACATTTTTCTGGAGAGAGAGGCTAGATGGACTGCATATAGACTTGTGCACATTGCCAATTGCACAAATGAATTAAATGCAGAGTGCAACAATGTCCATGACAGAACCTGTCATGGACATTGGCTTGATACCAAACAGTTGTTGGTAGGGATGAACTAAGATGTCTAACAGGCCTTCTGAAAGGTCTCTGTAATTTCCATCATCATATGCAGTGATTCGGACTGTCGAAAGACAGTGTGTGTTTCCTCTGTTTGGAAAGTGGACATACTTTGTGCCTGCCCCGCTGGGGACCGAATCAGGTTTTCAGAGTTTGGCAGAGCCGTACTCTTATCATCTGACCTGAACGACCACTCACCATACAAACTAATCGGCTTCGTTAAGAAGCTGGGTTTATTTGGTCGAGGATGAATAGGTGTGAGTCACAATAAACCCTTGCGGGGTGCAGTGGAGGGTCTAATAGACCCACTCACTTTAGATCTAACCTAACGTAACCAATCCAATATTCGAATAGGTACTTATTCTTACCAATAACTTTTTGATTTCTTTCCTCCATCTTTTACCAAATGTAATAATAATAATAATAAATCGGCTTTATTGATAATACAAAAAAAACAATACAAAGATATATTTGAAAATGAAAATAGTTTACAGGAGATTCTGGTACTCCTTGGCGAAGTCTAGCTCAAAGCTACTCTAACTCAACCAACAAGCACCACTCCATAATGCACGCAAACATACAAAAATAAAAGCAATTAACAGTGATGGTACCACGAAATGAGAACCGTAAATAAAATAATAATTTGTGATTACCTTCTAAAGATAGTTGATAAATAATTTAATTGAATTGATCTGTTGTCTAAAAAGTAAAAGTTGACATTACTGACTATCATAGATATAATTTTTATATTTGTATTTGAATTTCCTGATATTGAATCTCTTCAATTGCTCAGGCAATGAATTATAGAGTTTTACAGCACCAAAAAGAAATGATCTCTGAAACTNATAAAATATTGAACAAGAAAACACGACTAGAATAATTAATATGAGCAAACAGTCAAATGTGAAATTATCCATATTTAATATAAAAATATACAGATGATTCTGGCTATATGACAATCGTATGATCCTGTATTTTAAATTTAGTTCATTAAATACTTCTTTAATTGATTTTTGAATTCGAGATCACTTTTTGATTTTTTTAATTCTTCAAGAATCCTATTGTATTTTATAATTCGATCATGATACATTTCTGTCCAAAATTAAATTTGAAATTACTAACTGTCTAGTGTTATAACTATGAATATTACTGATTTCAATGAAATTCATGTTTGAAATTTTTTATATATTTGTTATTGAATGATTTAAACAACAATTTTTTTTGTTTGTATAGTGTGTTGAAATCATAACATTTTTCGGTATACGATAATTCATATATTATTATGCTTTCAATAGTTTGATTTTGTTGAAATTTCAAAGTGTTTTATTGTGGATCCATTGGAATTATTTTTTTCACCCATGTAAAGCGAATGTTTTCTTCAATAACCATTTTGTAGAATGATATTAGATGCCAATATATTGTAAATTCCCCAAGCCCAATTTTTCTGACGACTATGCTCCATAGCAAAAAAACATATCTTCAAGGAAACCGATAAGTTTTTACACTTTCAGAAAGTAGATCATGACTTTCAATAGAATTTCGTGGGAATTCGTTGTGAAGAAAAGCGAACAATAATTGAATAAATATATTGGTTTTAAAAATGACTACTGACGAGATAATACTGGAAATGTGTTGCAAGTTGGCCGAAGAGTGGAAATTGGAAGCAATTATCCAACAGACCCCTATAAAAGTATTCCTGGCAATGTTGACTGTTTCGATACTTATATGTAACATAACTGGAAGGCTGGAAGTGCGTGACATATCTGCAGGTAATCGGAAAATAAGTTGATAACAATTCAAATAATGAAATTGGCCGATACTTGATGAGATTTTTAATAATGGTTATCTCTGTCTCGGAATTCGAGACACCTATTTATAAACTTGTATAGACTTGTACTTTGACATCCTAAAACTTACATACACTGCATTTCTTTAATGTCCCCCTCCCCTTTCATATTTTGAATTGGTCAACTCAAAAAATTTAAATTTGGGATGATTAAATTAATACATGAAAACTTTATTTAGAAGTAGAATTGACAGATGAAACTTTCAAGATGGCGACTGGGCGAAATCTGGGAAAAAAATTAAATAGAAAGGGGGGTCTTGTGACACATCATTTCGAAGCTCCTGACGAATTCTTCACAACCCTAGAATATGAAGTCAATATGTTTGTGAGGTGTCTCCTTCTACAGTATGGAGATTTTTGATGAGGAATAGGTATCATCCATACAAAATTAAAATGGTACACCAATTAACTGAAGATGACCATGATCGATGAACAGAATTCTGTGAAATCATGATGGAAACCATTGCAAGGCATCCTACCTATCTCCACAATATTTGTTTAGTGACGAATGTACATTTTTTTAAACGGCAATGTTCACAGACAAAATTGCCGTTATTGGAGTGATACCAACCCTCACGTTTTCCGGGAAAAAGATACCCAATATCCAGAAAAAATTAACGCTTGGGCAGGAATATTGGGAAATTATGTTGTAGAACCTCTATTTATTGATCAAAATTCAACAGGGGAACTGTATTTGAATATGCTGGAAACTACTGTTGACCCTTTCATCACTGATATCGTCGAAGCGAATCCTAATGAATTCGATATGGATATTGTATTCCAACAAGATGGAGTACCACCACATTACTCCAGACAAGTAAGAAACTATTTAGATATTACTTTTCCCGGTCGTTGGATTGACTGTCGAGGTCCTACAGAATGGCCAGCCCTCTCGCCAGATTTGACACCTTTGGACTTTTTAATGGAGATATTTCAAGCAAAAGATGTACGAAACTGAACCTGCTTCAATATTGGACATACGGCAGAGAATAGTAAATATTTGTAGAAATAATTGACGTTACTGTGTTCAAAAATGTTCAGCGTGATAGGCTGTTCATATTTCAAGAACCGACTTCTGAACTGACCTCAAGCTTATTACCTCATTATATGTAGTTGAATGTCAATGTATTCAGGCAATTATTAAAAGTTCCGCCATTTTGTAGTAGTTGAAGATATTGACATTATATTCTAGGGTTATGAAGCATTTGTCGGGAGCTTCAAAAAGATGTGTCACAAGACCCCCCTTTCTGTTTAATTTTTTTTCCCAGATGGCGCCCAGTCGCCATCTTGAAACTTTCATCTGTCAATTTTACTTCAAAATAAAATATTCATGCATTAATTTCATTATTTGAAATTTCAATTTTTTGAGTTGGCTCGTTCAAAAAATAAATGTATATTAAATTAAAGAAATGCACTGTATATTTTAATACATAATTCTCTTGACAGAGTGTGTGAGATGAATCTGCTATTGAAATTTCCATAATAATTTTAATTTGACCCATTTCACAAGTATATGAAAAAAACGATAAAAAAAACAACGTATTCAGAAAACACTGTATTGTGAGATTTTCACTGAACAGTTTTACAAAAACGCATACAATGGCTTCTTCGGGCGTGTCTTTATTCTTCATATTCATTGCTTACAATTTGAAGTGCCTATATTTCAAGTACCTGACTTTTACCTGAATTTGTAATGAAATAAATTACCTCACCTTATGTCCCAGTTTCCACATTGTAAAAATATTCAGTAACGAGGAATTATTCAATTCTAATTGATCATTCAGTAAATTACCCGAATTCTTGAATCTATTGATTTCTAAACATTCTAGAAGATTAAGTTTCAAACTTTTCTCTTCTAAATGTAACACGTCCTATTCAATATTGAACTCATGTCCTTCTGCTGAAAACTACTTTTATGGTCTTTAATTCTTTGGGAAAAAGTTTTCCCTGTTTGGCCAATATATAGTTTTGGGCAAGAGCCACAAGTCAGCTTATATTCTCCTGATCTATCTGACACCAAAGTTTTGTCTTCATTGTTTTTAATGAATTTGTTTAGACCATTACTCGTTCTGTTATGTACTGAGACACAAGCTCAGATAATTTAATTCATTACAAACCCAGGTAAAACTCAAGTACTTGAAATGTAGGTACTTCAAATTGTAAAATTAGGTATATTAAGCATTGCATATGTAGAATATAGTTAGTAAATAGTTAGTGAAGTGTTTTTTGAATGCGTTAGTTATGGATTTTCATCAAGTATCGGCCAATTCCATCATATATCACAAAAAAATCACTTTGATAGTTGAAAGAAACCTTCTGAGTAGTGATTGTGGCAAAACTATTCTTCAATCCTAAAAGGGTTTTTAACTGAGGTCAATCTCATTTTGATTTTGATACACCTGATACTCTAGAAGTTTTTCGTTCACACCCGGTATATCTAACATTTATCTTCACTTCATCCAACATTTTTTGCAGCTGTAATCTTGTCTCTACAAGTAGCATTCATGGTCAGTAATAGATTCAAGCGCGTCGACAACATCATCAGTAGAGTTTTATCAGAAGAAAAAAGGAGAAGATTGGCCAGTAAAATCCTTTCCATAATCTTGAAGCATGTACCTAATTTTCAACCCATCGATGTAGATTCTGCAATGGATTTGCTCACACCGGAATGTAAAAATGCCATGATGAGAGGAGTAATGGAGTTTTTGAGAAGACTACCAAACTATAATGATTTTACGGCGCTTGCATCGAATATATTTCCATAAATTCTCGAATTATCGGTATTCAATCATTTTTATTTACATGTAGACTTCAATTGGGGTTACTAGACCAGTCAACAAAATTCTGAAACCCAATACATAATTTTTCTTTAATCAGAAAAAATCAATGGGATTGAGTTCTGTATTTACTGGCGTTGAATGAAATATTGAAAGGATACCTTGAAATTTTTTCAATTTTTTTTTTCTGAAACTAAAATCAAACAGGTTTCAATGAAGGCCAATTTCAAACGTACCTACACTTAAAATATCGGACAACTAGTCTAGTACATTCCATTTTGTTCCCAAAATCGAATACGTGTATGTGTTGTTTTGTGAAAATGTTTATACTTTTTATCGTTTTTAAAAGATCAGTTCCATAATTGACATTTTTTACATAGTATATATGTTTATGACAAAATTAAATTTAATGAATTCGTCACATGTGCTTTTTTATTTATAACCTAGCGGATAGATTTGTATCTACATGGGACAGATTAACTTCTGTTTCTCCCACACACGAAATGATGAATGATAGTATTATTAAAAACAGCTGACCAATCGAGTCTGAGCCATTCTTGTGATTGAGATTACTATATATTTATCAGAAGTTGACTTATATTTTCAATTTGATTCAATTCCCACTAACCCAATAGAAAGTACACAACTCATAATGCCTCTCCCCCATTTCAAGTATGTTCAGAATAATCAAACTTGTGAATCTATTAAATTCAAATTGTTTCCGTAATCAATTAAACGGTTTTATTTAGCTTGCCCTGTTTATTTGCTTCAAATTCAGTAATTGAAGTTTGACCTCTTCTTGTTGACAGATTGATCTGATATTTGGTACACACATTTAGTTTTGATGACAATAGAATATAATAATAATGATAATAATAATAACACATCCGGAGCATGCCGCCTTTTCCGCCCAAAAATTTAAGGATTACGTATCCTATCTTCGGCGGCAGGGCTATATATCTCCTCCCCAGCCTGCTAACAAAGTGGTAGAAATGACAGTTGTACCACCCGTTGGCACGGCTGGAGAAGAGACTCGCATCATGCCACCAATGGAGTCAATCAGAACACGCAGAAGAGGCTTTCCGAATCTGAAGGATGAAATCCCGGCCTTGCGGTTCGGAAGATTGAACGGCGTGTACACAAGATGGTGGCTAAGATCACGTCGGCGAGAGAACACGCGTCTCGTATCCAATGTATGATGGATTACAGGGCGGCCAATAGGCCTTTCACGCCCGTAGTGCGGCGAATAGCCGCCAATCTACGTAATATCCATCACACTTCAAGTCAAGGCGTGCTGCTGACCATCAAACAGCACTGCCTTGATAGGATACGAATGCTAGAGCTGCTAAGAAGTCACTGGTGAGGGGAGCGAGAAGTATCGCGGAAAACCTTAGGTTCCGAGAGAAACCTTCTCGCTTATTCCAAAAGCCTGCGCCGATAATCCGCCGACCGCTGATCAGGTGGAATCCTTCTGGAAAGATATCTATGAACACCTGCAGCCACTCAACCTAGACATTCCAGCCCTAGCGCAGTTCGAAGCAGAGAGAGCTTCGGCAGTCTGAGCTCAATGAACTGCGCAATCCGATAACCCCGGATGACGTTCGAAGAGTCCTTGTGGGTTCCAAGAACTTTGCTGCTCCAGGCCCAGATGGGCTGAGCATCAGAAAAAACTACCAAGCACCCACCGCCATCTGGCCATAGTTTTCAACTCATGGCTGGACGGAGAGCAGCCAATTCCGGATTGGTTTGTCGAGGGGCGGACCGTTCTTATCCCCAAAAGCGGAGATTCCTAAGAATTACAGACCGATAACATGCTTGAATTCGTGTTATAAGTTGTTTACAATAATCTTATACACACCGAGTGTTCGAACGGATATATGAGCAGAAAGGGTCGAAGAGAGGAGTCGCTGGATGTAAAGAGAACCTGCTCATCGATAGATGTATAACGTAGGACTCGATACAATATAAGCGTAATCTCTCTAAGGCCGCGGTCGATTACCGTAAGGCATTTGATAGAATTTCGCATAAGTTCATCTTGCATTTGCTCAGATGCCTTGCGGTACCCGACAAAATAGTGAGATGCATTTAACAACTGATAACACTTCGGCGAACTCGCTTCACTATAACATCTGGTCAAGCAAGAATCCAAACAGGGTGGGTCACTTTCAGAAGGGGTGTATTTCAGGGTGCTTTCCTCAGTCCCCTTTTCTTCTGCATCTCACTATTGCCATTATCCGTTGCCCGCAGAAATACTCGAGAGTATAACTGTGGCATCCCCGGAAACCAGAGGCACAAGGTCACCCATTTGTTTTATATGGATGATCTTAAACTTTATGCCTCTGGAGAGAAGGATCTCCATCAGTCCTTGAGGGTGGTGGAAGAGTACACGCATGCTATCGGTATGAAATTCGGGATAGACAAATGTGCAATGGTTCATCTCAAAAGAGGACTCTGATATTTTGTATGCAAGTTCGTTTTATGTTGTAGATGTGCAATAAGAAAGGATTTTTAAATATTTCAACTGGGGCGCCACCGCTGGGAAAAAGTCGCGTCCATAAAAATATTCAGGCATGGAACTGAATTCAGCATGAAATCAAAATATCTCCTTTCTTTTCACCTACCAGGATCCACTAATTGAAAAATATTCTGTTATCATCAGATGAATTTGATGAAAGAATAACGTATTAATTTTTTTTTTCGATATCAAAAAAGACGAGGAAAATTTGATGTACCTACCTACCTTCAAGCAAAATTCAAGTGACGCCCATGGGTAAGATAAAAAGCATGAAAAAACCGATAAGCTTTTTCATTTTCGTCCGAGGATTTGATTTAGTGTGTTCAAGTTGTTCACACAAAGAAATACATGCGAAAATCAAAATTTTCATTTCGAATTCGACGCAATGGAGTTTCCTACAGAATCGTTGATAGAAATGTGCGCGAATATTGCTAAAAAATATAATATGGAAACATTAGTGCCCAGAGATATTGTAGCAGAATATTCATCGTTCATAATAATTGCGGCTGTGACATTTTTTCTAACTGAAAGGATACGGCACAGAAAATTTTTCGCAGGTAAACATACACTTAAACTGATATCGAAAACGCTTCATTGTAGATTTCACATGAAAGCTTAACGCCACTGAGTTGGGCGGAAAAGTTTGTAGACTGGCAGAGATTTTTTTTATAAAATTTGATTTTATTATTCAACAATTATAGTGGTCATGTAATTTTTCGGAGCAAAATTTATTTCTAGCGAGCATTCTCTTGAGAACTGAGAACAGGGAAAAATCACTGGGGGACAGATCTGGAGAATACGGTGGATGCAAAAGCAATTCGAAGCCCAATTCACGCCATTTTGCCATCGTTTTCATTGATTTGTGACACGGTACAATGTCTTGGTAGAACAGCATTTTCTTTTTCTTTGAATGGTGCTGTTTTGCGGCGATTTCGTCTGTCAAACGCATGTACATATAATTATGTATAGGATTTTATGAATAGCAGGAAAAATATTACAGTTAAAAACTCAGTACTGAGGAGATATCGGCTTCCATGAATTGTTCAATGCTATAGATGTTCAGTGCTAGAAGAATTTTTTTATTTTCAGTTTGAAATTTGTTCTTTGGATATCCTTAATCTATGTTGGGAGTTTATTGAAGAGATTAATCGAGATGTTAATAAGGCTTCTGTGTGTTGTTGGAGAATTGTCAAATTATTTTTATTTCTTGTGTTATGTAAGTGTAGGGTATATTGTTTATTGAATTTGGTCTCGTCTGCTTTGATGTAATAAAGACAGTGATAAACAAATAAGGCTGGGAATGTAAGAATGTTACGGTTTTTAGAAAGCAGTCTATATGATTCACTGTAGGGGGTATTTGTTATTGCTCTGATAGCCTTTTTTGTATGCTAAAGATTTTTTTCCAATCTGTGGCGTTTCTCCATTCCGTAGGAGATTTGGCTCTTAAATAGACCCATCTAGGCAACTCTGCATATTTCTGTGGTAGCTTTTTGTGAGAGTTTTCTCAATAAAAAAGTTATGGTAGCAAGTTTTTCGGATAGTGCTTGAATATGATGGTGTTTCCAAGTTAGTTTTGTGTCAAGAAAGAGTCCAAGGAATTTTATGTTATCTATATCCGCATTGAAATCCTTGAGGGTGAAATCTATAGTGACTGTTTTGCTCAAATTGAGACTTTGCTTATATTTTGTTTTATGGTTTTCGAGTTTAATGGATCACGGTGGCAGCGAAAGACAGTTGTGTCATCGGCATAAAGAATGGATTTTCTACTGATATTGCTTGAAAAATCATTCACGCCTGAAATTAATAGTAAAGGACCAATGATTGAGCCCTGAGGGACACCTGCCAGTATATTTTGAATTGACGATCTAACACCATTATGTTCTACCAGTTGTGATCTGTTTCTTAAGTAAGCCTCTGTGAAATTGTGTGAGTTTCCCCTAATCCCGTGAGTTCAAGCTTACCAAGGTCATGGTTGACACAATCAAAAGCACAGAAGGTAGAAGTTGCAACTTCGCCTCATCAGTATTTTGAGATGTTCATACCATGAGCTCATACCATAACCTTGCCAGACGACTTTTGCGTCTTTGCACGCTTTGGAGTCGGTCCACCACGTGCAGTCCACTCAGATTACGATTGTTTTGATTCTGGTGACAAATTATGGAGATATGTTTCATCTATTGTCACATATGGACCCCTCAATTCGAGTTTCTCATGGTTGAACAACTTCAAACACTGCTCAGAATCATCAATTCATTGTTGTAAACCCACATCAGCCGCTGACCACCATACAATAGCCATGTTCTTTTTTGGTGGGTTTTCGCCTTTGGGAAGTGCCTGGGTAGTCATCGATGTCCAACCACTGTCCTGAACGACTCCGGTTGTCGTAGATGATTCACTTTTTATCGCACGCTACGACCCCATTCAAAAAACGACCATTTTAGTCGAAAGCAAAGAGAAACAGACCTCGAAACTTGACAATTTCCGTCGATTGTTCAAATCGTGAGACTTTTCAAGCATTTTGACCTTTCCAATGCGTTTCGAACCATAAAAAACGGCATGAGAGCTGATGCTCAGTTCTTCTGCCATCCCACACACCACCTGTGATGGGTCAGTCTCTGCCAGGTTATTGTAGGTCGACCACTTCGGGGCTTATCTTCGAGGCTAAAATTTCCGGAACGAAATTTCTTCTTCCTCTTGAAAATGATCACTTGGTGATTGAAACACATGTCGAGGTGNTCAAAAAATTAATGTATGGGCAGGCATTTTAGGAAACAAAGTGCTTGGGCCATTGTTCATTGATAGAAATTTAAATGGAGACATTTATTTGGATATGTTGGAAACTACTATCAATCCGCTTATCACTGAAACCATTGAAAACCAAATCGAAGAGGATGGAAACCCTACACTTGATGAGGCTCAGATATATTTCCAGCAAGACGGTGCTCCTCCTCACTATGTTCTTCCGGTTCGACAATGGCTAGACAACGAGTTTCCCGATAAATGGATAGGGCGAAGAGGGCCTATAGAATGGCCTGCTAGGTCCCCGGATTTGACGCCATTAGACTTTTTTCTATGGGGCCATTTGAAGTCCATTGTGTTCACTCCCCAACCTGCAAATTTGAATGAACTTCGTCAACGCATTATCGACAGCTGCCATGATATCCAACAACATGTATTTGAAAATGTCCGTCAGGAATTTGAACATCGCCTATATCATTGTTTGGCCACCAACGGGCAACATTTTGAACAATTATTGAAATAAAATGTAATATTTTTGTATGTATTGTTTCGAAAATTCCCAAATTAGGATCAATAATATTTTTCTAATTTTCTGGAAAACGAATCGACCGATTTGAAAAAAATAAACGTCATAATGAAGGACTTCGGAAGACTTTTCAAACAAGCTATCACTCGATACCCCTTGTCATTTAAAATTTTCAAGGAAATGATCCTGGGGTGCAGAGGGTGAAAGGGGGTGAAGTAGTTATTGGTTAAAAAGTTGTCCCCTTTGATGTATCTTCTGACGTGTCTCGGCGTTTTTTCTTTCAATCAGTAGTTTTCGATAAATCCGTGGTGGGAAGTTTTCAAATGAACACCCTGTATATTAACTTCTCTTTTTTTTCTCCCTTCTTTCCCTCTCTTCAAGTCCTAATATAATATAGTATTTTATTTTTATACATTTTTGGCATAGGTGGAAGTGCAGATGCGAATGCAAATTCGTGATCTGAACCAAAAGCCATTTGCACATCAAATGCAAAGTGTATTCTTTCATTTTTTGTTTTCTTGTTAATTTTGATGGGCAATAAATTTATCATTAGACTATTAATTATTTCTGGAAAAGAGGCGTAGGTCTTGCAAATCTGGTATCTTGAGTTAATACTTCATGCATCAGGGGCTACCTAAAGCATCATGTAGTAAACCAGAGAAATTACTCCATCTCAACGATAAATGATAGTATTAAATCCTTAGACTCTTAGACAATAGTATAGGACTGAAATATACGGCGACAAACATTCCAAAATATTGAAATTGATACCACTTGTGATGTCTGGTGGTGGTCTTTCAAAGTACGAATGACGATCGATGTGGTTTGTTGCAGGTTTCTGTATTATATTCGTTGTTCCAGTTGTAAAATATAGTTGAATATATTTCTCATATGTGTCATGGTTACTAGTTTACTACTCGTTATTCAGTTGAAACCCATGAATGATCTCAGATTCATTGATTAAATTATCTTATATGCCATGGGCATAGGTTAGATATACGAATTCATTTGAATTTTGTCTTGAAAGGGATAATCGGTATCCCGTTTGTATAAATTAAATACAAGCTATTTTCATACGTCTAGTTGGACTCTGTCAACAGTATAGAGGTAGGAATTCAAGAATCTTATCACTGATCGAATCATTTTCAATTTATTATGGGAAGACAAATAATTTTCAACACTCTACAAACCTTTTAGAAACGATTTTCGCGGAATATTAATGTAAATAAATTGAATACAATCTCAGATAAGAATCAAATTTGAAATACTCAACATTTTAAAATGATTATGAATTTATTGAGGATGGTATACACGGCGTCCCAATATTGATGTAACAGACAAGGGGTGTGATGAACTGTTTTTTTAAATTTCATTTGAAGATTAGGCTCTGTTTCATGTGAAATGAGAATATTTTCAGTTTTTGAAAAACTAGTTTCCCTCGACTGTAATGCTAATCCCATTTTCTTCTCAGGTAATATAGCCTTTTGTTTTTTAAAAGTCGAAATTTTACTGTGGAAAGTTGTTCAGAATGAGAATTTATGGCTTTGATTAATTTCGTTATTATTGGCGATATACAATCGGACTAAAATGAAAAACATGATAATATACTGTGTTTTTCGTCCGTTTCGGGATTATAGGTGAGTATTCCTTCCAAAAAAACTGACATTTCTTATAGGAGTTTATATTACCTCTTGTACATATTCCATAATGATGATCCATAATCAATAAGAACTCCTAGATAATTTACCGCACCTACCAGTTAAAATCAGTCTGAATTCTGAATGATATACATTTGGGGCCACCGCCCTTCGTTTCCCCCTTCAATTTACACCTATGGTTTGTATTATCGTATTCTAAAAAATGTATTCAATTCAATACTTGTGACGGCATCTACTACTGATATCTTGAAGTACTAATGAAGATCAATTTTATGAGTGCAGGATACTGCAAAGTCATAATTGAAGGTCGATTTGTAGTAGAATAGGTATAGTTGAATATGTTTCTTGTACGTGGCAGCGTTACTAGTTTACTACCCATTACTCAGTTAATATCAGTTTATTATTTCTGAATTATTGAAGTCGACGTGTATCACAAGTCTGTGTGCATAAACGAATTCTTTTGATTTTGTCTTGTAAGGGATAATCGGTATCCCGTCAGATTGAATCCAAACATAAACAGTGTAATACGGGGTGGAATGTCCAAAATTGATTTGTTTTTATTATCATCATGAATTGCACGCTGTAGCTGCCTTCGTAACGGTAAAAAATACGACACAGACAAACTTTCATCAATGTATAACAATGTAGAAGCTTGTAGCGAGATTTTACCTGTGTACATCAACAGGAATACGTGATTTAACATAAGTAATTTCAAGAAAAAGTTATGTTTTTGATAAAATAGGTACCTGAATGTCGCAATGTAATGAATCGATGAGTTGGTGAATTGATTACGGTTATTTTTTTCTTTTTAGAGCATGTAAATGAGAGCTTGATTTCAAAAATGTTTTGTATACCTACCTATCAATTTTCACCCATCTAGCGACTGTGTTCCAGAAAAACCGTTCCCCACTTTCCTGGAATCTTCAAAAAGACTGAATAAGTGATAAATCCGATATTTGTTTAATTCAATTTTCTATGAATATTTAAAGAGTACTACCTAACCGAGAGTTCAAGAGAATTATTAGTCGATTAGAAATTGATATATTTCTAAAGTGAATTATGAGAACCTGATAGGAATATATGTTAGCACTTTATGTAGCGTATTGTGTTGTGCACATGTTTCCAGAAGTAGTCTTACGATGGATCCCTTTTTGTGTCTGTCAGAAGTGAGATTTATCTTTTCTTTTAAAATTGGTACTGCTTTAGGTGGTGGAAAGTATTTGCTAGATCGTCTGCCTATACGATTTACGATTTTTTTCAGTTCCAATAATAATTTAGGATTTTTTTAGTGCTAGTTATGAGGTCCATAATCGTGCTATTCGAGTTGAGTATCCAAATTGAAACTTCCCCAAAGTTAAATATATCTGTCCTGAAACAGATATTTCAGAATATAGTAGTATCGATCTAGGTCCACATTTCATTATTAAATCCTAATATATTCAATATTGGCATTTGGTTACTGTATTTGTCGGTGTGTTGGTTGACGTTTTCATGAAAAGCAGCAGTTAGGTATTACTGGAACGCATACCCAAGATTTAGGTTAGTTTTAGATCATGCCATTAATAATAAATAACGAAACGTTTTCTAAGATTAGAAATCGTATTATTATCAACAAATTGATATATTTCTTGAGAAAAAAATCTATGTTCATTTCATTTAGAAACTGGAGATTCACAATAGTATCAAGGCATAAAGCAAACCCCTTCAAGAACGCAGCTTGGGAATTTGACTTTCGACAAACGACAGTCTCAATAGCATGGTTTTAAAAGAAATAAAAAAGAAATCAGTAAAAAATATTTTTTTCAATTCTTTCATCAGTGTAGTTGAAATTGAAACCGAAGAAAAACCTAGTCGCGTTTACAATATATTTTTCTCGTAGTCCGTTGATTCGAGATGATGTAGAAATTTTATTTAATTTTTTTGTATCCTCTGTCAATGTTTTTTATTCCCCATAAACTACGGTTGTGATTGATATCTTCATGCTGAAAATATAGCATTCTTGTGCCGGTTTTCGATATTAATAAAGAAATGGCAGACTCTGCTAGTGAATCAGATTCCAGTAGCATTGACGGAGGTCCCATCATGATGCCACCAAGTCCTATTACTAGAGAACAACTACAGAAACGTATTGAAAGCCTTCAGCAGCAAAATCGGGTTCTCAAAGTTGAGCTAGAAACATATAAGCTGAGGGTGAAATCATTACAAGAGGAAAATATGGATCTTCGAAAGGCATCTGTTATTATTGTAAGTGACAATTTCACTGTATTTAGAATGGTTGAATTTTATACCTTTGTGAGTGGATGTTTTCCCTGTTAAATTGTTTTACTTACAAACAGTTCAGGAGAATGAATAGTGTGAAATATCATTTTTACTTTAGGTGTTCTTTAGGCTCATGTTCTGGGTAGGTTGTGTTGATAATTTCTAGAAGCACCTAAGGAGCATTATGACTATTTGCCAGGGTACACTCGAGGCATTGAGGGACAACGAGACTGGTATATAAATGCCGTGAAGAACTGAAGAAACTGACGGAACGAAATAAGTTGACTCTACTGGGTGTCTGGGCATTCAGGGATCACAGACATAGAGGAGCTGATGATTGCTAAAAACAAATCATAAGCTTCATATATTGCCCCTTGACCAATTCTAGGGTTACTAAAATTCATGAATTGGGATCAAATCAGGAAATGGTACTGGTAAAAAGTACTGGAGAAAGTTACCCGGGTCCGCATATGGGAAAAGCCTAATAAAGGAGCAACCTGAAAAAAGAACGGAGCTGTAGAACTGCTTCGACATAGCAGGGACAGAATACTCACAGGGCTACTCGATGAACATTATACATTCATCACATCAATTTACTACACAACAAAATTTATATGGTAATAAAGCTAATCAGGAAATTCACTAGATTTTATGAAACATAAGTTTTTTTATAAATAAAATTAAGTATTATATTTATCTACACAGGTCATTATTGACACAATCAAAAGCACAGAAGGTAGAAGTTGCAACTTCGCCTCATCAGTATTTTGAGATGTTCATACCATGAGCTCATACCATAACCTTGCAAGACGACTTTTGCGTCTTTGCACGCTTTGGAGTCGGTCCACCACGTGCAGTCCACTCAGATTACGATTGTTTTGATTCTGGTTTAAAATACAAACAAGAAACATGCATAGAAAACAATAAAAAACTACTCAATGTTTGAAAATACAATACAATTATCGGTGTGCGTGTTGTGTGGTATGTTGAGTGTTGTGTTATGTGGTATGTTTTGTGTTGTTTGTGTGGCATGTCTGTGTGGTGTTTGTGTGGCATATCTGTGTGTTGTTTGTGTGGCGTATCTGTGTGTTGTTTGTGTGGCGGGTCTGTGTGTTGTTTGTGTGGCGGGTCTGTGTGTTGTTTGTGTGGCGGGTCTGTGTGTTGTTTGTGTGGCGTGTCTGTTTGTGTGGTGTGTCTGTTTGTGAGGCGTGTCTGTGTGTTGTTTGCGTGGCATGTCTGTGTGTGGCGTGTCTGTTTTGTTGTGTGGTGTGTCTGTTTTGTTGTGTGGCGCGCGTTTGTTGTGTGGTTCGCGCGTGTTTGTGTTGTGTGGTGCACGCGCGCGCGTGTGTGTGTCTCTGCTAAAAATCGTTCTTGTAATACATTCATCAGCACTATCGTATAATTTTGTTGTGAAGGTTGACCACTTACTTTTTTCCAGCAAGCGAAAGCTGAACAAGAGGAAGAATTTATTTCAAACACTCTTCTGAAAAAAATCCAAGCGCTCAAGAAAGAAAAAGAGACTCTTGCTCACCACTATGAGAGAGAAGAAGAATGTCTCACCAATGATTTGTCTAGAAAACTTACGCAGCTTCGTCAAGAAAAATGCCGCCTAGAGCAAACTTTAGAACAAGAACAAGAGTGCCTTGTTAATCGTCTCATGAGAAAAATTGAAAAACTTGAAGCAGAAACTCTAGCGAAACAGACTAATCTGGAACAACTCCGTAGAGAAAAAGTATGTATGATGTTTGACTTTGCATTGACTCGTACTTTCAAATTCAAATTTGATTGATATTTTTTTAAAAACAATTGTCAGCTTGCCAACGTTTCTTATTCAATTCAATTCTTCTTCAGGGCTCTGTAACAATAAATTTTCATAAACATACCTTTCACAAAACTTTTAACTGTTATCATTTAAGTTTTACGACGAATCGTGAATTCTTAATTAAGTTACTCATCGAAGAGGAGTTTCTTCATGCTGTCGATCAGTCAGCAAATTTGAAAAATGCTAGGACACTTGTTTGCAACAAGACAGCCAAATATAAAGATAAAGTGGAAGATAAGGAAAGACTGATGAAATCAACTATTTTGTATCAGATTGTTTTTAGGAGCTGTGTTAATTTTTTTAGACATTATGATCTCATTCAAAACTTATTCAATTTGGAATTTTAAATATCACAGTCCACTCATTATATCTGTTCTTAATCTATTACTCCGTTCAGATGCAGCTTTGTAGAGTGTTTCTGGCTATTGTGTCATTCAATATATCGCTTTTGTGAATGTTTCTCTCCATATTCTATGGAATAAAATTAGTTTATTACTGACATGGAGGTCAAATTGAAACTTTTGATTCTTGTTGGGTTTCCTATCGATATCCTGTGAATGCAATTGATGTTATTGGTAGGTTGAATTAGAAAACACTTTGGAACAAGAACAGGAAGCTCTTGTAAACAAACTCTGGAAACGTATGGATAAGTTGGAGGCCGAGAAACGCATGCTTCAAATTAAACTCGATCAGCCAGTGTCGGATCCGGCTAGCCCACGAGATATCAACAATGGTGACACTGCTACCAACTTGAGTGCTCATATTCAAACCCTTCGCAGTGAAGTCAATAGGTTGCGCTCATTTTTACAAACTAGTCAACAGGAACACACTCAAAAAATGCAACGATTTGCCCAGGAAGAGCGAAATATTAAAGAAGAAAATTTGAGGTATCTATTCCATAATTAAGGAAAACAATTTGCCTATTTCACAATTCATCTTTAGCAATATACCTTTTTCTTTAAGTTTTTATACAAACTGTTTTTTTTTTGCTTAGATTAGATTGATGCAGGTATTGTTTTACTGTGACCTCTGCAGGTCTGTTGTGATGCTCCTTGGTCATCAGGGGACTTCATCTAGCTTGATCTATTTGATGAACCTCTGATTCCTCAGCATCACCCATGCCTCAGCCGTCCTAATGGAATATTTAACTTGAGAAAGACAAACACAATAATTTTAAAAACAGCTCTTCAGATGGATGTCCATAGGATATGCTGCGAAGTATGTTCATTGAAGGTTATCTTTTGGATATTTAAGTCATGTCCAAGAATATTCCACTGATCATCTTCATTTGGAATATCTTACTCAAGAAAGACAAACACATGAATTTTAAACAGCTGGTCATAGGAATTATTCAAATTTAGAAATATTTTGAATGGTTATCCTGTGGATAATCATAGGACATCCATTCCATATCCATCGAGGTATATCTTATGTATTTTTAATGATCTATCAAAGGCTTTTGATTGTGTGTGCCATGCCATTCTGCTACAGAAATTGAAGAAAATGGGTATACGTGGCCCTGCACAGGATTGGTTTAGATCCTACCTCACAGGTCGCACCCTTAAGGTATGCATAAAGGACAATTCATTAGAGCACCTCCTGTTCATTTTATATGTAAACGATCTACCATATATAATATAGTCCATGATAAATCCGTTATATTAACAAATTATGCCGATGACACAAACGTTCTAATTGCTGGAAAAAACTATCTAGAATTGAGTCAAAAAACAAATAACACTGTACTCCTACTATCAGATTGGTTCCAAAAAAACTCACTAATACTAAACACTGGGAAAACAAACTACATACTTTTTAAGCATAGTCGAAATACACGAGATCTCCCAGCACACATCGAAATCGATAACACGCAAATCTCTTTTGTTGACTCCACCAAATTCTGGGGGGTCATCATTGATAGACACATGTGCTGGATGAAACACATTCAACTGCTCTGCGGCAAGACTTAGTAGAATTTGCTACTCTCTGAAGGAACTCCAAAAAGTCGTCAATCAGACTACCCTACGAACGGCATATTACGGTCATTTTCACTCCATCATATGCTACAGAATTATATTCTGGGGTGGCACACACAATGAAGAGGTCTTTAGAATCCAAAAGAGAGCAATTAGGATTCTAGATGGACTAAGAGTAAATGAATCTTGTAGAGGATATTTAAAAAATCTGAACCTTCTCACTCTAACAGCTGTATATGTGTTTGAGTGTCTGAACTATGTCTTCAAAAACGAATCACTATTTATACCTTATGGAAATGACCACTCGCACCACACGAGAATTGAGAATATATTCGAATATATTCTGCTACCCTCAACATAAAACTAGACTCCTAGAAAAAGGCTGATTTTATAAATGTCTAAAACTTTAAAACTTACTTCCTGAAAACATAAAAGACATTAAAGTGCACAATGTATTCAAACACAAACTAAAACAAATGCTCATTGCAGCTGAACCATATGGTTTGGAAGATGTGCATGAGGGCACTTTCAAGAGATAACTGTCTCTAGCAATATGTTATATGTTGTTCGCAAAACTTTTAATGTTTTTAACAAATCACTTCCCGATGTAATGGGATGAAAATGTACACTATTTCTTTTGACTTGTACTATACAGATTTTGTAATTTGTCCATTGTGCGAAATAATTCTATTCTATTCATGTCCATTGAAGGATGTCCTATAGATATCCATTTCATGAAAAAGGATATTCCAACCTGAATTGGACATGAATTGGATATCCATAGGGTATCCCATGTTGTCTGTGCAGGAAATAAATTTGATTTATTGTTAGTTAAAAACTGTGAATATTCTTCTGTTGAATATTTGATTGACTTGATTTCTATCGTAGATTACAGAGGAAGTTGCAATTGGAAGTTGAAAGGAGGGAAGCTCTTTGTCGACACCTTTCTGAAAGTGAGAGCTCATTGGAAATGGAAGAGGAAAGACATTATAATGAACAAGTACTTGGAGCAATACAACAAACTGCTTCGCCAATACCGGCCTACGGTCCTTCGCCAAGTCAAAGTAGACCTCTCAGTCCAGGTGAGTGAAATTGGTTAATCTATCTGTAGGAACTATTGTGGGAGCTAATTTTGAAGACTCCTTTATGCAAATTTATAAAAACTTGAAAATAATGACACTTTACTCTATGATAATATTTGTTGAGTAAAACATTCATAACTACTCTGTTATGTCCGATACACAGTCACAATACTAGAAATAAGGATAACCTGATTATTCCTTGAACACAGTTTAGGTACCACTCACGGAAAAATCTTTATATGTAAACTTTTCAATTAATGGCATGGGAGATCTTGAACCTAAAATGTCTTGCACAATTGATGTTGGTCCCATCTATACATGGTGTTTGTTAAACATACGGCAAAAACTTAAGGGACTGATAAATTGGTTCAGGCTTTCGTGGCCAAAATTTTCGTTGTTACGATCTTAAGTCAGTTCTTGTAGATTAAAAAACATTACATGTTATATTTGGTAATAAATTGTTATTGTCGAAATTCTCCGTATCTTCGAAACAAAGCATCCTATCAAAAATCATCAAAGGACAAAATATCCTTGGAATAGTCCTTTAAATTTTTGTCGCATGTTTAATAAACACCCTGTATGTGTATTACAGGTATTTGATTTTCTTACCTTCTATGAAAATATCTGCATCGTCGCTTCTGTGGTAAGAAGCACAATTATTTGATTGAAAACTGTATCTTGTAGATAGGAAACAAGTCCAACTAACTACTTCACTGAAGGATTAATTAACAATTTTTTAACAATAAATATGCTAACTCAAATCGAAAATATAATTTAACTGTACTATAACTAGGATCCGTATAGACGTGCGCCAGGTCGATCTTCGGCCATACATTGCTATAAATGAAATGTGTTGTTTTTAGAACCGTTGATAGAGGAGTATTGAAGCGTGAATTCGTTACCAGCACCGATATCAGTCATAGCTGTTAAAAAATCAACAAAGTCTAGTTATTTTTTTACCATTGTATTAATATGTTTTCTATTGAGGTTCAATGTTTTATTGTATTGTATTTATTTTTATGGGCAACAGTGTCACATTAAAAGATAAATATGGATGGTGCAGTAAAGAGACCCTCTCTTAGGAAAATTGGTCTACAACTATCTTGAAATCCTAAATCAAATATCAATCTTATAAGTCTTTTCTGTTTTCTTGAGAACACCCCCAAGACGTGATATTAAATCTGATGTGAGAGTAAGCCATAAAAAAGTAGACATTAATTGTATAAAGTGAGCAAAATTGGCTGTACTTCTAGTATCAAACGTTTTGTCTGCTACTGCGGCAGACATCATCAGTGGTATGTGCGTTTACTACGAGGACCAAAGTAATATTTTCAAAGCCACATAAGGAACGGAATTTTTTCCTTCAAAATTAGCCATTATTTTTATTTTATTCCAGCCACATGTTTTCCGACTATGTCCAGTATCAAAACTGATGCATAATGTAGTGCATAAAATTTCAGGTTCATCTATGCAAGTTCCTTCTCCCAGAGACTCATTAGTGGTTGGTCCACCTAGATGCCATTCATGCGGTCAACTCATTAATCCTATTAATCCAGCTTGCGTGTCTTCAGTTTTACATCCTGTCGGAACGAGCAGCCCTCCAGCACCTCATCGTAGAACTAGCGATAGATTCATTAAGCCCGCAATCCCAGCTCTGCAACCAGCTAGTCCAATGGACACTTCTGTTAATAAAGATTGATATGGTAATCGTTTTTCGGTAGATCAGATTTATAATTTATACTGCGATGGCTAATAAATTTTCTGTTGGCTTTTTTCTCATTTACCACCGCGTTTCATAGGGTGTCTTATTTTAACAGCTTTCTGCTCAACGGGGTTATTTACACTTGAATATAGTAAGAAGGAATGATTGGAATAACGCTCAGTGGTATCCTTGGAAAAAGAACTCGAGTGAAAGAAGGGTCTTCGTTTCTGGTTGAATTTTCAGGGTAAATTTTATATTGTGAAATCTGAATTTTATGTGATGTATCGCCAGGTATAATCGCCAAAGTGTCAAAATTGTATGCGATATATTATTACGCACTATAATGTATCATGTTATTTCTTATACTTTTAAAATTTATCGGCATCATTGAATATTTCCATGTTCCTGTTAGATGAAACTTTGGAGACTCCAGTGGGAATAATAGTATGAATTTCACTCGACATCTAACAGATCTGCAGCTCAACAACAGGCATGTGACAGATTTTGAAACACTGTTCTATAATGTTGGGAAATATTTCATAACTACAACGTATATGTTATTTTCCCAAAACATAAAAGTTCACTACAAAATTGATATGCTTTGATTTGAATGTTTGAAATTCGCGCCAAAACACTTGAAAGTGTCATGGCGTCGCGCGTGACGTCACGTTCGAGTAGACTACATGTAACCACTAAAAGCTCTTTCATGATAACTTTGATGATAACTATGATTGAATATGTATTCGAAAGTGTCTGTCATCATGCCTATTGTGGTTGTCCAACATATTCAAATAAATAAATTGGAGTTTAGAATAGGAGCATTTCGTCCCCAGTCCAGAGAAAGAACATGATGTTACACTCTCGGGATTTCCACAATATGCTATGATTAATTTTTTTAGGAGTATCCACTGGCTTCTCTTGGATTGTATGATTAATTTTTTTAGGAGTATCCACTGGCTCCATCTTGGATTGTAAGTTTAACACTGTTCTCTATCTTTGGACGTGGAGAAAAAACAAGTGTAATACTCTATCAAACTTCTACAAAGGTAATGACTGCATTTATTTCGGCAGCTTTAATCCTCTCAAATGGAGGATTGAAAATCTGTCTCGCAGTTTTATTCAACTTTCCAAGGGGATTTCAATGACCGGAATTAACGTAGTCATAAAATCTATATAGTATGGCTACAAAATATTGAAGAAAAATTGTTGTACTAGTAGGTTTAGGACCGTATTTGGAAAATATTCGGATTATTTCTATCTGCTTCATAAGTACTGTTTGGTTATTTGTTATTTTATATTTGTATGTACTTTAATATTCCTCAAAATAAAATTTCATCATTACTATTATCAGAGTTTCTTTTTGTTTGGAGCTATTTGAATTAGATACCAAAGCACAGACACCTCACAAATATCAGTAAAACCAGACTGATTCATAAAGCATTTGAAAGCTTGTGCAAAAAAAAATTAGAGGTGTTCAACAGGGAATCATAATTGGGCCTATTTCATTTGTTTCTATAAATACTTTAGAGAAGGACACAATCTGTAACTGTAGGGTACGGAGGATGAGTATAGGCCACATGTGCAATGTACATCCTCCCGAGGAGTTGTCCTCCTAGGTCATTGTCCATCCTGTCCTTTGTAGGAAGGTGGACAGGTCACTAGGAGACATCTCCTTTATATTGGCATGTGTAGGCAGAGACTCGCCGAACACACACTATCTTATTGGCACGTTAATAAGAGAAGCACACAAAGAAAGGACAAATTCTGCTGATTTTATTAATATTAGACAAATAACTTTCAGATTGAGTAAGTTAGTGTAAACCCGCCTGAAGAAGCTATTGTATAGCGAAACACGTGTTGCGTTTTTGTAAAACTGTGTAGTGAAAATCTCACAAAAAGTTCAAAACTCTTGTATCAGGTTAATATTTATTACCAAAAGAAGGTCCAGAATTTCACACAAATTAGCAGATTTGAAGTGGTTGAATATGTTTAATCGTAGACGTCTTCATGCAACATGCATATTCTTTAAAATATTCAAATATAGGAATCCTCCCTACTTATATGAACATTTGTCTCATAGAACAGATATCCATAACCTGAATTTGCGTAAAGACAGTGCTAAACATTCCTGTACATAAAAAGGAAATATTCAAACAATCTTTTTCCTATATCTCCTCCTCAATACATTATCTCCATGAATGGGAAAACAATGGTTTTAACATGTCAGAAACTGTTTTTAAAAGTAGGTTCAAACATTATCTGTTCAGCATTCAGAATAAGTAGGTTAAATTATCTTCTCCTTTCTTTTTTTTCTTCCTTTCTTCTCTTCAAGCCCTCATTTATTTATTTTTATACATTTTCGGCATTGGTGGAAGAGTAGATGCGAATGCAAATTCATGATCTAAACCAAAAGCCATTTGCAATCAAATACAAAGTGTTTTTATTTTCCTCTCTCTTGTATTTTGTGATTATTCTGTTATTTTGATTGGCATTAAACTTATTATTATTATATTAAGTGTTTCTTGAATACATTACAAACTAATTGTTTGTAAAAATAACCACTCCAAGAAATTCGGCCATCTTATTTTTCAGGAAGGTTTAGCGGACTGTATTACTATAGAAAATAAAACCATAATCCTTTTTACCACGCTTTTGATAGCTTCACCTGTATATATATATATATGTTTGTCAGTTTCTAACTCTTAAGCTCGGGATCTGTATGTGACAAAATTATCGACATTATTGCTTTCTATTCGCAGGCAGATAGCGCTGTTCGTAACCTCCTTGATATAATTCGAACTCACTTTACATGTATTTCTTCATTTGAAAAAAGTATTTTGTTTTATTACCACGTGCGCTTGCTGCCTTATTTGTAACCCTCCTTTGCGCGCCTGCTGCCTTCCTTGGGCTTGGCAGCTGATTTTCAGGCTCTCTCTCCGGAATCGGAAAATATTGATGGTCATTTTTCTAAACAATACACGGCTGATTGATCGCAAAGTTTAGACAAAATAAATATAGTTTAAAAAGACTAAAAAACACGCTTTTATCACATACGAAACTAAAAAATGAAAAATAAATATGGTTTAAAAAACTAAAAGACACGCTTTTAAAGAACAGCAAGCACACGTCGTTGTCTATGGGTGTTTATCTTCAGTTTCTGGGTCATTTGAATTTTGTATGGGTGCAGTCCCAAGTCACGACGCAAAATTTGCGTTGTGGTCTGCGAAAGGCCGAGTTCTCGTGAGCGACGCGATATCCATTACCTCGGATTCTCCTGCACGCTCTCACAGACAGCGGCTATGTTTTCGGCAGATCTTGCGTTTCATCGAAGTGCGGGTGTTGGTCGATCGTTTACTGAACCAGAGGACTCAAATTCATCCACCAAATTGCGAATAGACCTCTCGGAAGGACGATTATGGCGAACGTAAAATGGGCGCAGCGCTCAGTACTTTGCCCTGACAGAACACCCATTTTGATGAAACAATTTTATGTAGCTTCAACAAAATAGTCGTTATCAATTGTCAAAGTTCGGAAGACCCTTTGTAACCCTGGTTGAGATTTTAAATCTGGGATAAGGAAAAATATAGTATTTCCAATCATTTGCAGGTTGAAAAAGACTAGGTTTATCCCACCTTAGAAATTTAAGAAGCAGAACAAATGGGGTCATTATTCAACACCATTAAAAATGAATCCACAATATTTCCTTTAACTTTTAATGGCAAAATGAATGTAAATTGACAACAAGACACTTTCAACAACCCAATAGTAATAACAGTTATAAAATGAAACATCCTACAGTAAATTGTTCGAAAATTTTCAGGCTGCATTGATAAATTCACAAGACTCGTAAAAATTGACTAGGAGTATTGTCCGGTCCTCACAATAATATGTCTACTATCTTATGTTTATTATATCTAAAAAATAACAAATCTATTAAAATCACTGGTTCATTCAAGATATAAACTTTTCCTCCTGTACTTTATCATAATACTACGTAACAAATCTTTAACATTATCATAAGTAGCGTAGCTGATACCCACGGCTATAGGCCCTTTTATCCAATTCATAGAAAGTCCTTTATATAAACCTCTTCTCAGACCTTCATTTCTGAAACAAAAAAAGTACATTCAAAATTAGAATCAATGCAGTCTACGCAAAGAGTATTGGCCAGACCAATAGAGCCTATGAACATAGTTAGCTGTAAATTTCTATCCCGAAACAAGTCGCACAATAAGATTCGAAAGCTACTAAGTATGTCAGTTCAGTATGGTACACGAAGATATTGAAATTGAAAAACAACAGCAAACGAGAAGATTCGGAGCATGTTACACAAGGTTCTGCTTGGATTTCCGAAAATGGCTAAAATGAAGCACCGTAAGAAAAAGCATGGGCAACGGAGAACAATTTGAATTTCCCGCTGCTATGCGCGGTAGCTTCTGATTGGTCGACTGGTTGATGGCGAAAAGTAGATTAGTGGGGGCGGTCTGCAGAGCCGTTTTTCCTGCAGTTATAGATTTTAGCCTGGAAGATGAACCCCGAAGTGGTCGACCTACAGTAATCCAGGAAAAGAATTTGAAGACCGTGGTAGAGACTGACCCATCATAAACGGTGCGTGGGATGACGGAAGAACAGGGAGTCAGCTTCCATGCGGTTTTTGGTGGTTTGAAACGTATTGGAAAGGTCAGAAAGCTGAAAAGTGGGTGCCCCACGATTTGAACGATCGACAGAAATTGTCACGTTTCTAGGTCTGTTTTTCTTTGCTTTTGCGCAACCAAAACGATCCTTTTATGGATCGGATCATCACGTATGATGAAAAGTGGATCTTTTAGTCTTTAGTCGCTTTAGTTTATACGAAGTTGATACCGCATAAAACCTCGCATAAAAACAATGATTGGACAAAAAAATTATACAACGCCGCCTATGTCATACTAAGAAACTGCCGACGTTCATTAACTATTTAGTTTTTATGTCATTCAAATTGACTTCTTATATACTTATAATACACCCTATGGATGCCTTCCTTGTTACTTTGTACTATTTTGTGCAAGAAATTTTATACTGTTCAATGAGAGAAATAAATATTGTTATTTTTATCATTCACTGGAATGAGACTGCTAGCTTGACCAAAGTTTCATTTGCTCTATCAAATTCAAGCTCGTATATAATGAGTTTTACAGTACCTGTAAATACATTTGAGAGTGCTGACAATAGTAGAGTATTTTCCACCAGTGTCGGTTTGCATTCTCCTTCTTACTATGTCCAACGGATAACTACTGGACTGTCCCAACATTCCAGCTATTGCACCAAATCCTAAAGATGCCAGAGGGTGTGGACTCTCACCAGAAACAAAGTGTTCTGAAAGCCAAATTTCAAGCTGTAATTTTCTCAATGCAAGATGTCAACGAAACTAATATTTTTGAAAATATACAAGTGAGTTATTCGGTATGGTTGACAAACTGTTCTGGTTCAAACTTTCATTCACCTCAACTTGTAAACTTTAAAACATAAAAAAAATTAAAAAGTATAGGATCTAAAAGTGAATATAAGGGAGAAAATGAAGATTAGTTATAGAGTTCCGGCTACGCCGACCCACGTATTACGAAACTTTTTCTACTATCACTGATTGTCGTAGAATAGAATAGAATTTATTAAAATATCATACACATATAACATATATATTACTGGTACCTACAATATTTATCAGACTAGTCACACAAACTGAAGAAAAAGCAGCTTATACAGTCAAATCTAAAAATTCTTTGACATTGTAAAAGGCATTTTCTAGGAGAAGATCTATTAAAGCTTTTTTGAATGTATTGTAATTTTCAATATTTCCTAGTAACCTAGCTGCTTTGTTATAACATATGACTCCTTGATAGCTTGCCGAGTCTTGCCCAAGGGCTAATCGTGAGTAAGGTAGTCTCAGTTCATTTCCTCTGCGAGTATTGTATCATACTGTTTTTTGTATGGTGTGATTAATTTCTTTTGATATTCATAGTTATGAGCAAAATATATAAAGACGGTAGTGTTAAAATAGCTAGATCTTTAAAAACTGTCTTGTATGATTGTCTACAATGTACCTATGCCATTGATACATCTATTTATTTATTTTTTTTTGATAACAAACACTTTTGTTAGGTATGCTGAGTTTCCCAGAATATTAACCCATTTGAGATATTAGATTGTACTAATCCGAAAAAGGCCAATTTGAGTACTTCTAGAGATACTGTTTCATGTAATTGTCTTATTATGATGCAGACTCTACTCAGTTTAGTTATTAGATAATCTGTGTGTTTTCGCCAAGTTAACTTCAATTACTATTGATTTACCTGCTTTATAGATCTGTGATGTATTTTTATTAGTAAACAGATCATTAGTAAGATCCTTTTGTTGATAATTCATGAAAACAGTTTTATTCACATTAACAAGTAGACCGTTATTTGTGCACCATTGTGAAAATTCATCAGTTTTATTTGCAGCTTGAACAGAGAGGAGAAGTTCATTTTCTGCTACTATTTGATAGGTATCATCAGCATATATTATTGTTTTTTGTGGAGATACACATGAATTTTCAATATCACTCATAAATATTATAAAGAGAAGCGGAGCCAATGTTGAGCCTTGTGGAACTCCTAATGAGAAAGAAGCTGGTTGTGATTTTATTTCATCTATTACCACTATTTGCGACCTTTGACATAAATATGATTCTACCCATTCATTGGCTACTCCTCTTATTCCCATTCTACACAGTTTCTCAAGTAATAAACTGTGGTCAACTGTACTCCTCTTATTCCCATTTATACAGTTTCTCAAGTAATAAACTGTGGTCAACTGTATCGAATGCCCGGGATAGATCAAAGAATAAACCCATTGGAAATTTCTTATCATTGAGGTTTTTGTAGATGTTGTCACACATTTCGAATATGACAGATGATGTTGATTTTTGCTGTCTAAAACCATGTTGACATTCTGGTATGAGTTTATAGTGTTCAACAAATTTACGAAGTCACAAATAATAGGCATAGTTGATAACTTTGGCAAAACTTTGTCAAAACAGATATTTCTATAGTTGGTTATGTTATTTTTGGTGCCCTTGTTTTTATATATGTGTATAGACTTTGATGTTTTCAGTGATTCTGGATATATGCCGTCACATAAAGATTTATTTACAATAAATGTTAGAGGTTGACAAATTATGTCACTGACACTTTTAAGATATTTACCGTGTATATCATCTATTCCTGAGGCTGTAGTTTTAGTGGTTTTATCAAAGACTTTTTGGATCTCTATATGTGATGTTGGATATAAGAATGAGAAAGAAGATAATTTCAATTCATTTGTATTAGGTTGATTTGTTTTTATGTCAATGAAAAATGTATTGAGAAGGTTACTTATTGTTGTTTTATCTGTAATAGTATTACCATTGATTGTTACTTCTGAAGTATCATTATTTTTTATTTTATTCCTATTTTCATTGATAATTTTCCAACTTTCCTTATTAATATTTTCTGCATTCATAATTCTGTTGTTGTTATATCCCTTTTTGCCCGTTTTACTTCTTCTGTATATAAGTTCTTCTTATATATACGGCAGGGCTTCTAAAGGTCCTCACCAAATGAGACTTCCAGCACTGCTTCAATCAATGGAAAAAACGCATGGAAAGGTGTGTGGTGCGGGAAGGGAAGTATACTGAAGGAGCATTCGAATGTAGAACAATTTTTATACTAAAATCCATTTTCGTAACCAGTCTCGTTATTTAATAGCCGGACCTCGTATACCGGGTGTTTGACTGTATAGTGGTACAAGCGTACAAGATATACGAGGGTGGTCCCAGAGGTACCCGGCCTGATCTAGAGATGGCGGTAATTGTTTGAAAAATATGACTGTATTAGAAAGTACACAATCTACAAGTGTTTCAAGTTTGAAGACGCTGCATTGTTTAGCAGCCAACCAATATGGAAGCTGAACTGGATCCTACTCTGGGTGAGTCTGCTCCTTCGTTTACAACAGTGGTCAGTGGTCAAAGATTTTCCGACGATAAAGAAGTGATGTCGGCAGTTAATGGCTATTTTAAGGAGCAAGAAAATTCTTATTATAAAAATATTTTCGAACTTATTGAATGTCGCTGGGACAAAGTACAGAGCTGCAAGGAGACTATGTTTCTTTCCGAAATTTTTGTGTTTTCTTTTTTGGGCCGAGTACTTCTTGAACCACCCTCGTATGTACCGATAAATGATAATTAATAGGGTGGTCACTTTCATGGGAAAAATGATAAAAATAAATAGCATTGATAACGGGAAACAAAAATACTCAAATATAATTAGTGAAAACTTGAAGAGTAACGCGGGCCTTAACGCTGATAATAATTGTAAAATAATTCGGTAGGATTTTTTCTTCTCCTTTTTTATTTGATAATTGGTTTAACAATATGTTTAAAATATGTTTTTCCTGTTAACCAGCTATCGCATCCCTACGAACGACAACCCTCAGAAATCGAAACTTGTGCGAACTAAGGACTAACGAGGTCTTACGTGTGATTCCTAACACGGTTTGCCCCTAATGAATTAATACTGAAAAAAAACTCAAAATACAATTGTGTCTTCCAACCTTGCATGTATCAAATTAAAAGTGTAAAATTTCTAGGATTCATTGCCAATGGAATGTGCTGGTCTGATTCCTCCAACAGACAATAAAATTTCCTTCATTAAATTCATTTAAAAAACATCAAGCACCCGTTAATTAGCGTTAAATCACTTTTTCAACTTCCAGAAAATTAGCAGAAACGTTCTTTTCAAGTGCACATGTATAGAAAATGGTATACAAATAGAAAATGTTTAACCTGATACAGTCAACTAGACAATAATCAAATTCTCGACACAACTCACCTTTATAAAGTCTTTTCAGCGTATCATACGTAAAAAATGACACTCCGGCATATGGTATCACACCTGCCATTGTTGGTACATATCCTCTGTAGAAGGTTTTCACCCCTTCAAAGCAGTATATCTTCCAAAAGACCTGAAATAAAACATTCCATACGTTTTTCTTAAGAATAAATAGCCATAAAAGTGAACTAATAATAATACTAACCTGACGTAAAGTTGCATATTCCTCTTTTGGAGTCACTGCCATTCGAGCCCTCGCTAAATCAAGTGGATATGTGAGAGATTGTGAGGTAGCACCAGCAAGAGAACCTGCTAAAAATAACTTCCCAGGAGTTTTCCTGCGAAAATGAAGTTTAAAATGAGAACTCAAAAACTATTAGCATGGCCAATTATTAACAGTATAACTGCACTGAGAGCTGCAAGATAATTTATAATGAAATTTTTTAAATTCTGTTCCTAGAGCAGCTACCAAAAGACAATGTTTAGTACAAATGTATTACATTATTATTTGTATCAACATTTACTAAAATATTATTGAAAATGTATTCCTTCACTCTATAAATTGAAAAAATATTTGTTTCCTTTATTTGTGAAACTATACAAACATGCATACACATATATACAAATATGCATACACATACATACAAACATGCATACACATATATACAAACGTACACGCAAATATAGATAGATAATTTATTGGTGTTTTATACATTCATCAGTATTTATACAAGTCAATATATAAATATTAACAAAATCAGCATATATGAGGGATCTATTAATATTTACATAAACTAAAGATGCTTACAATTCAAAGAACAAGGTTTTTTATAAAAAATATTTATATCTTATACAGTCTTATACAGTTATGTCGATGACCACATTTAAAAACGAAGCAGTAAAATTCAAAATTGGGAACAATAAAACACTGACAAATGTCTATATGGTTAAAGAACTTATATCACAGTGCAAGAATTCTTCAGCGGTTTTTTATTAAAAAATATTTTATCTTGTTTTGAATATATCATTGGTTAGAGATCTTATTTTTTGTGGTAATTTATAAAATTTCACAGCCCAAAAATTTGGTCCATTTTGAAAACATTTTAAAGCCGTAGTAGTTTATACTCAAATCATTTTTATGTCTAGTGTTGTGGTCATGCACATAATCAAAAATTTCATATTAAGATAGATTATTTTTGTATATCAAATTTCCATGAAACAGAGAAAATGAAAGGTTAGTATTTTTAATGTAACGAATGTAGTCGATATTGTCTAATATTTTAATTGCTTTCCATTGGTATTGGAATATTTTATCACAGTCTGTCGCATGTCCCCAGGCATTAGAAACAATGGATTCATACAAGGAAAAATATTCCGTTTTATTGAAAAAAGGGGTCTACAGAATCTCAACTCTGCACAAATATCTCACAGCCCGTGAGGACGAAAATTGAATATATTATTGTTCGGGAACTAACCCCTAGAAACCAATTCCATAACGCAGGTGTGACTCACAGAGAGCAAAATAGGCATTCTTTGCTGAAGGATATCCAACTGAGTTGGATATAGCATATAGCAAAACACCCTGACGATAGATTATTACACAATTGGCTATCCAAAGTTCAATTTTTGTCAGTATAAAGTACTAAGAACTTATTCTCTTGTTTATATTCAATAATTTGCTCATCAATAAATGTTAAGATGCACTACTTACAAAGCTTAGCATTTGCTCTTCTTCAAAGTATTCAATAGTTTCTCTGACATGATGTAATCATATTTTATGGGTTGTATTCTTGGAAATATGTCTATATTTACATTTATTAATGTGTATATTTTGTTAATACTACTCTTAAGTCTGTAATAATACTAAGCGGTAGCATTGTGAACTTTTTATGAACACCAGAAAAACTATATCACTATATTTTATTTCACGTCATTCATGGAAAATTTAAACAGAAATTGTCCTAGTTGGCTCCCAGATTTTATGTTAATCTCCTTAAGCAATAGGTTACTAAAAGATAATCACGTGATAATTCAGACAAAAACTTTCTAGCATACCCTTCTTTCTCATCCACTTTGAGAATTTTTTTCCATTGTTCGTGTGCTGTGAATTGTATCGCAGCATGAGGAACAATTCGAGCCATCGTTGCGCTGTTTCCTCGCCATAATGCAATTAGTCCTTCTTTTCTGAACGTTTGGATTAGGAATTTCAAGGCCTTTTTCGTAGAATAAGGTTTATGTCTACAAAATGAAAAAGTGAAACATGAAATTAGATAAGTCAAAATTCGCAATACTAACCCAACTTGAAAGTTGATTTTCGTTCTGTCCAGAGGTGCGATTGTAGTTTTGGCGAGGGCTCCTGCAATTGCACCAGCAGCCAAGCTTGTTAAAATTATTTGAGCGTTCTGCAAACCCTTGTTATCATGCTGGACAGACTTTGCCATATTCACAAACTATGATCTCAAGGCATTTTAGTGCGTTTGAAAATAACGAAAGCACTAACTTCTTGAATCAACAACGATTTAGGACTTTAGGATATAACCATAAAAAGCTAAGAGTTGAAGAGATTCAAAGTTCATATTCCAACAAAATACACAACAAAAACAACTAAGTTTTGTATCTGTCACGTTACATAATTATATTGGGATATTTTAGAGTTAAGTTTACCACATTTCATAAAAAATGATGTTCAACACCTACACCACTTCCACTTAAAATGGAAAATTATATTTAAAAAAGTCCACGAAAAAGTCACAAATCTCAGGTAAACAAAAGCGGTATTGCTATGTTTCACGAAATGTTCAATATTCAATACATTGTTGAGGAACCTTGGAGAACATGCTACTTATATTAAATTTTCTTAATGATATAAACTTTAACGAAAATTAATTTCTATTTACGAAAAAGTTAAAAATAGATATGTTAATGATAAATATTGTTCAATTCTTTTTTTTTATTTACTTCAAATTCACTCATATTATATCCTACCGATATATCGAAATCTGGCTATGCTGCTTGAGCATGTGTAAACATCAAATAGTTCCTACATTGTTCATAAAAAAAGAAAATATCTCTCTCTCTTTCTGTACCTGGCTTTTGCTTCTATTCAGGCGCACTGCCTTTAAAGATGTCTATTTGTCTAAGTCTGAGCTTTAATGTAACTATCACTGTTTACTTTAGGGCTTTAAAAAGGGTAAGAACTATTTACTGTGGATATGTTGATATGGTATCATTCGATTGGTGATTCAATTCAAGTAGAGTTGAATTTTACTATGGTATAGAGCACTATGTAGGAAAAACACAGGACCGTTTTTATATTTATTCCAAATGTATTAGTAACGAGATTCGTATAATATGTCGTCGCTTGTTGATTTTACAATAAAATGAATGAAAACTTATTTTTCTAACTCGGTTAGAAAATATTTTTCAATCTCATACACCGAAAACATACATCGAAAAGCCATATTGTTTTAGCCATTCCTCCTGGAGTAAATATCGAGGTTTTTCTCTTGAGACCCCTCTTGATAAAAAAAAAGCGGGGTGTGAAACGTTCTAGTTTGCAATATCAAGCACAATCACTTAATTAAATCACTTAACATTAAATTAATTCTTTTCAGGACCTACCGCCAAGAACATCAACTCCAACACTGTAGAGACCAGTATTATAAGCAGTTGTTGTTGATTATCAGGTCCAATGTCGAGAGATTAGTAAAGTTCACAAATATTTTTTAGATGAATCATGTTTTTTATTTATTCTCTCACATTACAACGAAAATATAAACAACTGCAGTGAGATATTCATCAATAACCATTATGATTTATATTATAGCTTTTTTTATATTTAGAATATCAGCAGCAAAATCTCATTAATTTTCATGCAACCATATTTCTTATATTGACTGTTACTATAAATACAAAACCAATGACTCGGTTATTCATATAGCAGGATCTCAAATTTTAATTAGATGATAGTGCCGATCTTATTTTGATAAATTGCAAGAAAATCACCATTATATACCTTTATTCACCAAGTCTAGTATTTGCATTGCGTAGTGTTCATGTCGTCAACCCTGTTGCAATAACTTTTATTATACATGAATAAATAAATAGATATAATTTTTTCTTATGTTCAGAGAAAAACATAAATCCTTGTGCATGGTAACAGCGTGTTCATTGTATATCTACATCTGCATGAAAAATAATATATGCTCTATGTAATTATAATTGAGTATGTGTACCTGATCAGGTAGTTGTCACTAGTGATCACGTGGGGTATATAAAAGTTAGAGTGAATAATTAATTTTCAGTATGTTATTCACCACGAAAAAGAAAACTGAGTTTGATCTTCCTCTTGAAGATGATCACTTATTGGTGATCGAAACACGTGTCGAGGTGTTACAATAACGATTTGGTGTTGGGAAAAAAACTCCAGTAATATTCAAACTATAATTATTTCATTGACACTAATCAGCTACAACAACTGAGCTAGATACACAATATTAGAAATGAAAAATAAATCATTAATATCGGCTAACAACTTAACCATACCACACAGTCCCCTACGGCTCTGAGGAATGATTGATTCTCTACGACTCTAAAGATTGTTTCTCCATATTGGCTCCACATATGGGCTAGTTGAAAGAAGTGTCGATAATAACTGACAACGTACTTTGATGCCATAAAATGATCATCTGCCATCTGCCCATCTGCTTGTTTGGTTTTCCCCTAGTTATTACCAACTTGCATCTAACGTCTGACGTTGAGTTGGTTCAACGGCTAAAGCCTGCCCTGATCTCGTAATTCTGACACCTGTTGACGTACTAACCTGATCACTATTATTATATTTAATCATTTTTATCCATTGCAAAATTTCAATAGATATTTGTCACTGATCGACCGATAATTAATCATTAGTAAGCAAATAAGTACATATTGTAATTGAATAATTTCGTAATCGCTGGAAACATTTATTTTCCTTTTTCGAAAATAGAAAATGGTAAGTTATCTATTTGATTTGTATTGTCTTGCATTACCTTTTATTATTTTAGGCACGGTACTTCAAAGAAAAAGATATTGATGGTGAGTTATCAGAAAAACAAATGTCACATACTATCAACATTTCCTCTGCACATCATAGAAAATTTTATCAGTTTGTCTTCAACAGGCTTGACCTAATTTTTATGTAAGGAATAAAATTGATCTAAATCTTGGTATATTAATTCATAAGTTATGTGTGACATTAACAGCAAGTACACACTTATACAGACCAGTAACTAACATAGTTATTTGGATAAAATAATGATTTCTACGTATAATTGATACTCAATAGATAATAATACATTGCCACTTTTAAACCTTTTATCTAGATGTGTTACTAATATAATTATTATTGGTAGGTACGATTTCTGTATTATAAAGTTGTAGTCATTTCACCATAAACTGATATTTCAAAATTTTGCACAATAAATATTGTTACAATCCACTGCTGCTATCATCAAAAGATTACACATGCATCAATAATAAAATATGGGATGAAAATTATACTTTTATATAGGGTGTGTCATTATAACATGTGCAAATGTGCCTACATTGTACAAACGTTTAATAGAACTAGCTTCAAAGGACAGCAGCGTAAACTGTTTTCAGAGCGATAAGGAATTGACAATTTGATCCTGAATTTTGAAACTAGCTGGTAGGTATTTGACAGGAGTGATTTGTTGATAGACAATTTGCAAACGCAGTACCTTTCTTGGTTTTGGTTTATCTCTGAAAAAACTGTACAACTCAATTCGTTGACTCCGACAGTGGATGCAGCAAAATATTTAAGTGTTTACTTGAAAGTTCAACAATGGAAAAATAAAGCTCCAATATCTCCTGAATAATAGGGTTGACAAAAAGATAACGACTTGAAATCAATCAAAATGATGCAACCTGCAGCCGTTTTTTCTTCAAAATTTGTCATCAAAAGCATATATTTTACAAATAAATAATCAGTAGAAGTATCGATTTCTCTCAGAGACTTCTGTTAATTATTATATTCATAAAAAAACAGGTTGCGTCGATGCCATAGTTATTAGGTTAATATAAATGTATATATTGTTTATTTAATATGAATAATTCTGTTCCCACAATGTTACATGATATGTAAAAGTTGCAAATGAAAACAAACATTCAATGTTGAAATTGTCTTGGACTACATGCTAGGAATCGCAGGGTAAAAGGAAAGATCTCGTTAGTCCTTAGCTCGCACAAGGTACGACTTCTGAAAACAGACAGGACGCCCTTAAGGGCTTATTGCGTTTTTCCTCTTCTTCTCAATCCCACCCATTCCAACATTCTTGTTTCCTGTACAGTTGTCTTGCTGGGCGTATTTCATATTCTCCTGGACACAATTTGGGTTGTCCATAAATTGTTTGCATCTTATGATCCAAAGCCTTACATTCGCATAAAATAGGACATATGTACTGTTTCGGCCCTTTGTTGCATGGCATGCAGCCAAGGTCTCCATTGGTCAGCCCAATTTTTGTCAGATGTCGTCTCAATGGACAGTATCCAGTGAGACGATTGTAATTGTTCAGAGTCGATCCTTGCTTTTTTGACTTAGTTTTTCGGTTTTTTTCGGTGTTTTCTTAGTACTTATGTTTTTTATGATTTTGGTGCCCCGACAGCTGCTTCACGAGTTGAGGAACCGCGTCTGGCACACTCGCCAGCTTTTCCGTTGCCCATGGAACTGAGTGTCCTGGCACCCAGTATATAGTTAATTCATTCCTGTTCATCAGTTTCTCACGCATTTCTCAGACCAGACTATTTTTGGGTTCGTCATTGCCCCTAATGCACCTTGACTGTTTGAAATATTGATCAGTTCATTTTTTTAGAGTCCTCAAATTAGTGTTCCTTGTGCTCATCAATATTGCATATACTTCAGCCTAGAAGACTGGTTGAATTTCTCCTCGCAGCTTCCTTCCCATGTTCGGTTTTCGAACAGTCTGTATGCCAAGTGTTTCTGCCAAGCATGTGAAACATCTATTTCGGTGTCGTGGTGTCCTTCATATATTCCGACATAACTGTTTCGCCCGACCCAATTTGGGAGGAAGATTCAAGAGTGTCTTCAATGCAGCTGCTGGAGTGGTTTTCAATGCTCCCGTTATTCCCAAACATGTAAAACTTTGCACTCTGCTTAGTGTGTTAATAGCGGTCGTTTGTTTCTTTGGCCACCGGACCATAGACGCATATTTTATCATGGTTTTAACCACTATGGTGTAGAGTCAATACATCATGTCTGGTTTCCGCCAGGTGCGTCTGACGGGCATCAGTGCTACCTCCTACTTTATTTTCACTCTTTCTAGATGTTGGTACCAGGATAGCCTGGGATCTGGTGTAACTCCTAGATATCAGACCTTTTCCGCCAGTTGTATATCTTCACCTTGAGGTTTTAAAGGTACTATGCCCTCTGTCTTAGTGGTCTTGGTGAATGCTACTATGGTCGATAGAATATTCAGCCCTTCTTTCTCGGTACTAGTTATGACTGAGGATCAGACTTTTCAAAGACATCGACATTGTCAATATAAACATTTCATTCAGATGTGAAAAACTATTTTTGATAATAGACATTTGAATTTTTTTTAGAGTTTAGGGAGTGCTTCTACTTATTTGCTCGTTCTGGGAGCATAAAAACTGTGGACGAACTCAGTATGATTATGAGAAGTCTTGGTCTGTCACCTACGGTCTTGGAAATAGCATCGTATTTGAAAAAGAAGGTACATTATTTGCACATTTTTTTCATTACATTTGAGTATACTTTCACATTTTAAACTCATTCAACATGGCACTGAATACCAAGTGCTTATACTTTCTCATTGGACAAAAGTAGTATTAACTCATCAGCTTAATCATTTTAGGGAGGAAAAATGACCTTCGCTGATTTTTTGGAGGTGATGCATATACACTCACGAGTGGAAAACATTCCTAACGAGGTGATTGAAGCCTTCAGAGCAAATGATCCTGATGGAAAAGGAGTTATTCCAGCCAAAAACTTGCGTCATTTGCTTCAGAACTGGGGTGAATGTTTGTCTCCAAAGGAAGTCGACAGAATTTTTAGAGAAGCCAATGTAAACAATAGCAGTATGGTCAAATATGAAGACTTTGCTAAAGTTGCATGTGCCCCAGTCCCAGATTATTACTGAAAGTATTAACAGTATCAGACATAAATTTTTACACATTCCACAATTTGTTTCAAAATAAATGATTTGAAGATGTGTGGTGTTTATATATTTCATAATATTGAAATATGAGTAGTTTTGTCAAATGTTTTGGCATAACTTGTGATTTTTTATATTTTGCGCACCGAGGATTTCCAATTCAAATATTTTGATCAAACTTCATAATTTTTTCTCTCTTGGTATGTTGTTATTGCCACTAATGAGAAAACTTCAATCTACTCTTATTGATGGGTCGTTTACTCTTTACTCTTTTGTTTTTCGCCCCAATAGAATATTTCGATCAAACTCGATCAGTTTACAACTCATTGACATGTTAATATGGACACCAATGAGAAAAGTTGAGTAGACCCATTATGGGGGTGAATTTACTTTTGGGTAGGTACAATAAAAGCTATTTATGAAAAAACTTTTTCCCAAAAAACCAACCTATACTTGAAAAAATTACCCTTTTACCAGAGGAGCAATATAATATACTTCAAATTGAAAAGTATGGTATTCAAAAAGATGCAATTTAAACAACACAAACTCAATAACGACGATGCACTTCGCACTGAATCTGGCTATGCCTTTGCATCTAAAAAGCAGCATTGTTGACGAAGCTAACAGTAATCACTGAAACCGTTCGACCTGAAAAATATACATATACATTGTTTGCATTTCTCTTTGATCTGCATTCACAATAGAACATGTGAACTAATACTCATTTTACCAATGGAACGTAAAATATGCATCTCAGAGCAATAAAACAAAATGCTATTTCAGTTTTGACGTGCATCATTATTTCGTGTTCCGTGTCAAAATCAGAATTCAGGATAGACATTCTGGAAAGATTTGTTTTATGGATTCCAAACACAGAACTATCTTGTAAAGCACGTCTCTAGTTCGAATTTGTATTTATAAAATTCAATAATTAATATGCCACCTCACGGTAACTGTAGTGGTGACAAAGATCATCACCACGATCATGAAGAATCTAATGAGATAGGAATTCAATACAGTTTGTATAACAAAATCAATAAAAATAATTTGGAGTGCCTTAATGAAGCTGTTGAAGGCTCTGGTCAAACTGTCTTTAAACCATGGGAAGACCGTTTTAACTCTGATGCTGTAAGTGAGACTTGAGAATATAGTCAGTAATGAGACAAACTGAGAAGAATATTGCCATGAAAAGTAATTCCAAATGTATTTCTAGAAGAATGTGAATTTTCAGATTGTCTCAAGTTAGCTTCCCTTTTATTGATGACCAACATGCACTCTTACTTACATGTTTAACTTTCAATAGTTTGTGGAATCAGATGCTGATGAGGAACTGCTGTTCAATATACCTTTTACTGGAAATGTTAAACTGAAAGGTATTAAAGTTATCGGGGAAGATGCTGACAATCATCCTTCAAAAATGAGGCTGTAGGTAAATTACTACAAATAATTTCGAAACAATTATATATCCTGTATTACCATAACTGTGCACCTGCAAAATTCTAAGGCACCAGTAGATACATTTCCAATACTTTTATATTTGTGGATATCTTATTAGATCTACATTTTTATTCTAGATCAAACTCTATTACATCATAAAAATATATGGACAATAAAAATGGAACATATATAAAAAAAGGATATATACCCCGTCCTTACCAAAGACTTCCATGCAGCGAATTGTGAAAATCCTAGTTGTACTACGTGCTAGTATAAGGGTGTTCATAGTAAGCCGTTTAATGTGTACTGTAGGTATTTCCAGTGTGATTAGACTAGATTGGCTGCAACATATTTATTCATATCAAGTCCTTTTAGTGGATAATGTATGGTGATATTCAGTTTCTCTTTAAAGTCCTTCTGTTACTAAAAATCATTTTGGATGTTAGGGAATTCACCGATTTATGAAAAATGTATGTATTTTCTTATTACTTTACATTTTGAACAAAATAGTTCCTCCTAAATTGAAAAGGGGAGGAGAGATATTAGTGTGAAAGTAGATGTTTCAGAAGATTTTTTTTACCTTAATTTTTTATATTTAGTTTCCCACGATTATTGTATAAAGATGTAGAAGTGAAAAGCCAAAAAACTATTTTCTCAAATATCTCTACAAGATTTTCAATTGTAGTAATTTTATTTCTTCCTTTCCTTGGAAGGTTCTCACATTTTTTGTTTAATCTACTCTAACTCTGGTGAATTTGTGGCTCTGGTTTCAAAAATGTAATTTTCCTACAGTTTTCTGTTCCCTTTAGATAGTAATGAATGAACCTTCACTAGACATTTCATTCTTGTCATCTGCTTCTAGAAAAGGATGTCTCAATGCTGTTAGTATCAAAGAATGTGGTGTTCTGTTGAACTCATTTTTAAATTAAATGTTTTCATTGACTTTGTTCTTGTAGACAACATCCATCTTCTTGAAAAGTAGATTAAAACTGTTTCCATCATCGTTAAATTAGAACTTTTGAAAGAATTCATATAAACTTTGAATCTCATTTTCTAGCAGTTTGAAGTCGTCAACATAAACGTAGTCCTTGACTTTTCTAGCAGTTTGAAGTCGTCAACATAAACATAGTCCTTGACTTTTGTATAGACCATGCAATTTTTCAGAAAGATAATATTCTAGTTCAGTAACTATTATTTACAGGATATATAATTCTAGTTGATAGACAGTAATTGGGTATACCTAATTCATTCATTTTGATACAGTTGTTCTTTAATTTTTATATTTTTTCTATTCATTTAAGGTTTAAGAATAGACCGTCAGCAACTTTCGATGATGTAAGCGCAGTAGCAGATCAAGAGTTTGAATTAGTTAAAGATCCGACTGGAACTGCAGAATACAATACAAAGTAAGAGAAAAACACAATTTCAATATATATTTTACTATCATTTGGAACAATTATTTCACAACTGATTTAGTTGGCAGCAAATTATTTTATGAAATGTCTGTTTCATGAATTCTATAAGGAATTAAAGAAGAATTCAATTTATAAATATCTTTAAATTAAAATTGTAAATTATCATAATTTGGACCTTTTTTTGCAGAATCTCTATCATTTACTTTCCAACTGTGTATTAGACTTGAGTTTTATCAAAAAAAAAACCTTCAAAATATTGGGAATATAAAGATTCAACAATTTTACCAAATTTATCAATATTTATTTTTACAGGGTCGTTACTTTCAATAATGTGCATCACCTAACCATACATTTTCCGTCTAATTTCGGAGATGAAACTACCAAGATATATTATATTGGCCTCAAAGGAGAATTTAGTGAGGCTCATCGCCATGGCGTAACAATTTGTACCTACGAATCAAGACCAATGCCCACAGATCACAAGAATCCTCTGAGTGATATGGCACAGTCACGCCTGGGACAGTAAAACATATTTATTATTTTATTTTATTATGGATGGCTTCAAATAAATTATTTCTTAAAATAAATGTTTCAATTTCAGTCGATGTTTCTGTTTGACCAATATAAAGTTTTTGGTACTATATATGCTAGGTCGGTTCTACGTCCAAATCCCATGCCTTTTTTTATGAAGGTTCATTTTAGTAATTTCGGGACCTCCAAACGGAACCTTGTGGAACACCCGAGGTAAACTGTCGGCAATTAGGATGGCGGAAACAAATATCGGTTGGGTCCTTGCATTAGATCTGTTGATAAAAAAATCTGTTTTTCCCTGTCGCCCCCCTACGACAACTTTCAAAAGTCGAAACTTGTGCGAGCTAAGTACTAAGGTCTTACGTTTTGAAGTGTGATTCGTAACACGATTTGGATGATAGAGGCAAAAATCGTTAGTCCGGCTTTGCGGTTCGAATCACCTGTTCACACAGTGGTCGATTGAGTGAGTGGAGCGAACCACCCAACAGGCTACCGTCCCAGATGAAATTGAACTCGGGAATGAGGGTTGAATAATAATCATAGTAAAACATTGAAAAAACGTTGAGGGTGACGTCGTCGGCGTAGTAGCAAATGTATGTTGATCTGTGAAAATGAAAGAGTCATAACAAAAAGAAACATGAAGTGCATCCGTGGTATGCCAAAAGGGCACTAAGCCGTATCTTCGTTAATAAGAGTCGGATCATCGCGTGCAGCACACCTAATATAAGGGTAAGGAATGTGGAATTTATTGACAAAAGAAGAAACAAAGATGAAGCGACATGTCTGAAAGGCACTAAGTCGTGTCTTGGTTAATAATAGTCGTATCGTCGCGTGTAGTACATGAAATGAAAGAAGATGACCAATGTGTGGATCAACGAAATTTCGGATCTTCGAAAAGTAAGCACTTCCGGTTTATAAAAATTGAAACAGAAAAAAAGTAATGGTGACTTCGGATTTCCCACATCGAGGAGAATCCAAATCTGCAATGAAATGACCACTTGTGGTCGTCCGATTTCTATGATTTTGGCACCGATAGATTCGTCTCGATGTGGGAAATCCGAAGTGATTATTTTTCGATGATTTGCAGAGGTCCGTAAAGATAGCGAAAACTGCTTGGGATTACAAATAACACATTAAATTGTTGATCAGGAGGTAATTTTTTCATTTCATTATTGGTAATTAATCATGACTGAAATTGCATTATGAATGACGAACGATCATGATTGTAGTGGGTTTTTTTCGGGGGAATTATCCAAATTGAAGGTCGAATCGAGTTCAAATTGTAGGCCATTTTCAAATTTGAATTCAAAAGTCTGCGACTGGTGTGATTCACTATGACTTTCTGCAATCGGACCAAACCATCACAGCATAGTCTTATCGTAAGGAAATCGACGAAATATACCGAAAATTGCGTCAGCAGCAGTCGGGACTGGTCATCAGAAGAGGTATGATTCTATTACACAACAACACCCGTCCGTACGTTTCACAAATCACGGTCCGAAAATTAAACGAATTGAGGACCAGGCCGACTTCATTCAATCCCAAGCTTTCAATTTCTATGCTGATGAAATTAATCAACTTGTGTAACGTTGGAAATAGTGGACTGACTCAAATGGAGCTTATTTCGATTCAATTGATTAAGTATTTATCAAAGTAGACTCATTCAAACGGACAGAACTCTTGAAGCAACCTGATGGTAGGCGATGCAGGTTTTCATGAAGAAAACAAATAAATTAGAATCGATTTATTAACAATGAGATATTCTCGGACACAAATAAAATGGTACATACAATTAGTACTTAGTAAATGGAGAGAAATAATTCTTCTTACTGAATATTTGTACAATAATTACTAGTTTACATTCAAAAAATTGTAGAAATGGTCGTATAGAGTTTTTGTCACGTTCATCTGACCTTGAACAGCCTCATATTTTTGTCCAGTTCGATGACAGGATGACTTGAATGAGGTTACTTATTCTTTTCTAGTATTCTAATGAGTTCCATGCACAGTCATTTTCGAAATGAGAAAAATGAACTGGCTGACCTGAAACCAATTTCAACGATTCAAAGTAACAGTATCAAAGTTGATTGAATTGGTTGTTTCAAATGATAAGAATGTTGACGTATCTTTATGTTCATGAGCAATCATTTTCCAATCAAAATGTTTTATTAGAGAAACTGAAAGGAGTGTAGTATTTCAAATAAATGAGCACAAACATTCAAGATTAAAAATAAAAGGTTTTTTTCAACCAAAATCACGCTCATGCATTTTCTTACTGACTGTACTCTCATATTTCAAAAAGAATTACTCACAGCATACAACTATGTACTAGTTTAACAGACATTTTTATTTTCATAGAAATATAAATCAATTCACGAAATATTCAAATATTTGCAAATTGTTACTTTAACATTCATCAGTCATTGTTGCTAAAATTTATTTTTTAAATACATAAATAATTCAATATTACCATATATACATAGTAAAATATTCTTATATTAACATCTTTTATTTCTGTTTACATATTTTTATATAGTCTCCAGTTGTCTCACATCGATTAAAATCTACTTAACGTATAAAGCCTTATCAATAAAGATATGAATATTACTCAAATGTATTTTGTTTGTGTAACTTGAGCTTACCCTTCTATCAAAAGGGGTATTCGACAATTAGCAGACATTTCTTTTTGAATTTTAATGTAAAAACTGAAACAGAGAATCAGAGTGTAAACTTTCACGGCAGGAGAAACTGTATCGAAGCTATTTTCCGGGTTTGTTGGCCGTGGTCTGCAAGTTTATTCCCGATAAGTTTCGTCTACTACTGCGGTCGATATTATCAAAGGCGATAAGGTAAAATACAGAGTCTCAGGTTGTTCACACGGCAGACTCTACGTTTTCGGAATTATTCTCAGGTTTAATTTCATTAGTGATCGGCGCGGCTTCGGTTCTATTGATTGCACTAAATGACCTCACTTGTTTGCAATTAATGACAGGTAGCCAGATTTTATTCATGTTAAACCTCTCTTCTTTTCTATTGACGTTTCATAAACACAAAAAGTTTCAACAGAAAGGAAGAGGGAATTAACATAAATAGAATCTCGCTACCCGTTCATAATTGCACATAAATGAGGCCATTCAGTACAATCAGTAGAAATGAAGGCACGACCACCACTGATGGAATGAAATTGAAGTCGAATTCTAATAACGTATTATCCGCAATGAGAGCAACTCGAGTAATTCGTAGACTCATTATCTTCATCAGTGTCTGCCGCAGTTGTAGACGAAACATCATGCATGAAAACCTGCAGACCATGACCAACAAACCTGGAAAATAGCTTCAAAACAGAAAATGCTATTTTTATATTCAAAACATTTCGATATAGTTAAATCAATTTGAGGAAATTAAATATCACTTGGAAACTAATACATTTTTTTCAAAGTAACACGGTTCCAGACTATCCAACTTGGTACTGACAAAAATGAACTTTATTTTATCGTGTTATTTCGTGTCGATATCGTTACAACTTCTGTTTCATTGTCAATGCTGGTGCTGTCAGCCAACAGAACATCTGGCAGTGTTCCTGATTCCTCTATCAACTCTTCTGGTACCTTTTCCACGTTTGCTTCCGTAGTGAATCCATGATTCGTGGTTTTATTGAATTGTGTGCTCGTGTTGGACAGGGTGTTGGAATTTGTGAACAAAACTTTGTCTATGTAAAACATCGTTCCTAAATTGTATACAAAAACTTCACTTTTCACAATTATTGCATCATTTACTCGAACTTGATCTGAAACAATTTGAAATCAAAAAGTTAGGTCTATGAGTATTGAAAGAACTTGAATTTATATGTTTGTTGAATGGTAAGTTACTGTAACGAATCTGAAGCCGCCCCTGACCAGTACCCCGGCCGAATCATGGAACAAACACATGACATCACCGCGAAAGAATGCAGTCGGGAATTCCCGGTAAAACTCTAGCACCGAACCGACTACAGATTTCAAGAAAGGACCCTTACCGATATAAGCACGCCTTCCCGACCCAAGAGGGCAGCTCAGAAAGTGAATCGAGCGGCTAAATAAGAAATTTAAATAGTGGGAATAAATTAAGCGTTAGTTGCTAAGTATTGTAAATAAATTGGTTTGTGATTAGTGAAATATTGTTAGAAATGAATTTGTTTAAAACAGTTGATTCTTTAATTCGTTACAATACAATAAACTGAGTTTATTGAAATTGTTCAAAAATGTCTTATAGGACGAAACGGCAGTAACGTTAGTTACAAATACAAGTGGTAGAAAACATAAAAAATTTTTATTTCTCATTTTTCATGATGATTATCACGTAGTAAAGTAGTAACGGCTACATCAATCATTCGCGTCCGCTGGCGCATTGTAAATTATACTTGAGAAAGTACAACGAATACGTTGTTGATTTCAGGTTCCGTGGGGGTCTTGATAGTGGACGGGCGTGAATATAACATTTTACAAGCCTTATGCGGCGTTCCCACGAGGCGTTAATCACGACAGTGAACCACGCTTTCGTGAAATACACTTCTGTGTGAACGCATAGTCGTTAAACTTGCTTTCGTGAGGAACGGCGCACGACTCAAGCGTGGATAGATCAAACCTGTTTGATTTTCAGTCGTGATATACCGTTCGTGAAGCCAAGATGTCGTCACAGCAACGTGACATTTACTTATTGTGTTTTTTGGAACACGGAACAAAAATTCTAAACTTTTGAAGGAATCACCTGTAGCTAAATACCGTAACGTCACCTCTAATTTTGTTTTTGCACTAATTGCTTGTCTCATGTTAGTGTTAGATTTTGAAATTTTATTTGTAACACGCAATAAGAGGTATTCAAACTGAAATTCAGTCATTCGCAGTAGGTTTCTAAAATCTTCTGAAAAATTGCTTTTTAGTTCCATACTAACCAAGTTTGACGCTCCTAACATATTTCTTCGCTGTATCCATTCTCTAACCCAAAAACGTCTTTTTTTTCGTTTTCTTGTAATTGTGTCCTGTAAGCACTCCATCTTTTTTGCTAAGATAGTAGCAAAAAACGAACTTAGAACAGCACAACTTTCAACAACTAGATCATTCATGATCGATGTTTCGATGGTGACTAGTCGAAACGCGAGGCGTGAACGGCACGAACCCCCCAACCGTGTGAACGTTTTATAAATTCACACTTTCGTGATTGTCACGAAAGAAAGTTGACTAGCGTGGTTAACTGTTGTGATTAACGCCTCGTGGGAACGCCGCTTTAGGCTTATTTGTTATTGACACTTTTTTACTATTTATCTAATACTTGTGAGATACTCTTTCATACAGTCAAATCGATATTGGCTATTATTAATGGTATTTGATGTGAGTAATACAACATCTTGATGCTGGTATCAATAATAGTTATTTAACGTAACCAATGGTGAAAAACTGGTTAGACTGTGTAGTTTTTCATTCCTCGAATCTAAAGTAAAACGCTAATAACCAGAAAAAAGACAAACCTTTCGTTCTTTTCACAACAATGGTCTTATTTCCCAGCGTGTTCAACTTGCTTCCATCCGTTAAATCCCTGTCGTACATTCTTCCCTTGACGAAATGATTAAGTAGAATTTGCAAACCGTCTCCAGTAGACAAATAGTTGTCCGGCATCTTGTCTAGTCCGAGTTCTTCGAATGCAGGGTCTATTGGTACGAAAAAAGTATATCCGGTACCAGACACATGCGGGGCTAGGTCTGCGAGATTCAAAAACCTGGTTATATGGGTGAACCTTTTATCTCTTTCGAGTGCTAGGAAGGCGTGGGACAAAAATTGAGCTCCGAACCAAGGGAATGCCAGAAGCGGAGGGGTCTCCTTGTCTTTATGCTGTTGGTGCAATTTCGATACTATGGACTCGCTAACGAATAACACCTCCCCTATGAACATTATGTTTCCTTTGGCTACGGGGGTATCGCCTTTGACGACCATGGCTCCGTTGACGACAAGAGCAGCTGAAACATAATTGAACCAGGTTATATGTTTTGAGAAGAATGATAATCTCAATACAATGCATTTGAAGGTGAAATTTCACCTTCTATTATGTATCAAGGTCAAGGGCTTGCGAAATCTTTAGGGGTCAAATGAGAAAGTGAGAAAAACTCTCTCTAACAAAGAACCCCGAAATGAAAGACAAGAGAAACTTACTCTGAAAAAATCCCGAAGTGTCCTAAAAAAGTATAATAAAAAGGATATACTGTCCTTCTATGTCCATGTCGTTGTTACGATAAAAGTAGGATCCAGGATCATGTTAATTTCGATATAAATACATATTTGAAAGACACTTTTCGCTCTTTTCGATTCCTGTATCAAAAATGAGGAAACCATCAGAAAAATTTTACCTTGAAACGACTCTGAGAATGTAGTTCAAGGTCGAATACAGTTCGATCATTAGATTCCTTTTTGAAAGGTTCTTAAGATGTGACTTTTGTTTCTTGTGTTATAAGTAGATTCGCGAGATCTAGACATTTTCATAGTTATTATCATCTATAAATAAAAGCGGAATTGATTTTGTAGGCATTTTGAATAGGTTTCGATTATGTGAAATGGGACAAAATATAGGGTCTTCCAACGGGAACTTCAGAGCCTTGACAATGGATAACGCCATCTGGGCCATCTTGTTGAAGCTACATATATCAAATTAATTGTCATTCATTCAGTATGTTTTGCCAAATTATCATGGATGGATATAACATTCAACAAAATGTGCAAATAATGAAATTGTTTCATCAAAATGGGTGTTCCTTTCGCGCTTCGACCATTTTACTGTCGCCATAATTGTCCTACAGAGGGGACTATTAGCAATGTGGTGGACAAATCAGAGTCCACTGGTTCAGTAGAAGATCGACCAACACCCGTACATCAACGAAACGCAAGATCTGATGGAAACATCGCCGCTGTCTGCGAGAGTGTGCAGGATAATTCGAGGCAGTAGGTTTCGCATCGCTCACAAGAACTCGGACTTTCGCAGACCACAACTTAGCGAATTTTGCGTCGTGACTTGGGCCTGCAACCGTACAAAATTCAACTGAGCCCGAAACTGAAGGCAAACGACGTGTGTTCGCTGAATGGTCTCTGGAGCAGTTAGCAACTGACCCTAATTTTCATCGGAAAATCATCTACAGCAATGAGGCCATTTCTGGATGAATGGGTACGCGAAAAAACAAAATTGTCGAATTTGGGACGACACCAATCCACATGAGATCCAATAGCGTCCAGTTCATGGCGAAATAGTCACTGCGAGCAATGATGATTACCAACCCTTTTCGGCCTGATTGGATGATTTGAACACCAACGACAAGTGGTCTCAACAGATGACGCTACGTACCACACAGCAGCTCATGCCACATTGAATATTCTGCACGAGCAATTTGGGGCTACGGCCATCTCACGTGGAGGTGATGTGAACTGACCACCGAGATCGTGCGATTTGACTCCGTTAGACTTTTTCTTATGGGGGTTTTCTCAAGTCGCAGGTGTATGCGAATGAGTCACAAGCCACAGCTGTCCTCAAAGACAACATAACCCATGCCATCGGCCAAATTCAGCCAGATTTATGCGCCAGAGTCATGGAGAATTGGGGACGTTTCAGATGCCCTCCACCTAGAGAAGCCCTGGCGGACATTTTAATGATGTTATGTTCCACACACAATGACATCAATAGGTCTTTCAAACGAAAAAAAATGCGCCTAATGAAAGACCCTATATATTTTTACAATATTTAAATATCAATCTTACATCATAAAATGCATTTTCATTGAATTTTGAAGACGTTTAATACATTCTTATGGAAAAATATTCTATCATACAGTAGGTACTTACTTGTTTACTCGAAAAAACATTAAGATTTGGTTTTATAATGGATTGAGAAATAGCATTGTGACACGAGAATGCCCAACTACAATAAAAATCACTTATACTTAGGACTATTGGTTTTTTTAACAGAAAAAGTTAATTGAGAAATACCTACGAGTCTTCCTGAAGACAATTTCTCTTCCTCCCAGAGTTTTTACGACTTGTCCATCTTTGATCATGTCTTGTTTCAATCGGCCCTCGACGAAGTGATTAACGATGATGCTCTCCGTGAATTCCGGAACGCTGAATGGATAAAAACCCCAATCAATAGGATGCCACCTCTGAAAAGCGTAGTCGGTTGGAATGAACACGGTATAGTCCTTATCTGAAAATAAGGGCATCACTAACAAGTTTGATGTTATGGAAAAATCCACGAATAGTTGAAAAATATTCAATATGAGCGGGAATTTTCAATTTAGTTATTCTGTTGGAATTCATCTTCTTCGATAGATTTTTCTTTGAAAAGCAATTCGACTGCTTCACAAAATTTTTAAAATCTTCGAAAAAATTGTTCAATGGTACAATTTGAAACCTTCCTACCACTTGGTAAGGATATATTTTTTCATTAATATATTATGGATCTGTCTATTTCATACCCTGGGCTATTTGAACTGAGCCGAAGTCCACTTCAAATTTCATTTTTTCGAAGTTAAACTTCTTTTGGTGCGTTAGGGAAAAATTATGAGAGTAGATTGTTCAAATGCGTGTGCATACCGTTAAAAAAACCGACATCTTGAAGTTAGCTTCCTCTTCTTCAATGCATATGTCCATTGCTTCTCAGTCGAACGTATTTGTCCAGACTCCTCCTACCCATAGTGAACAGAAGCTCCGTTCGGGGGCGCAGCTATCTTTCTCGAAGCAATACTGCCATCCTAAGTTTCCTCATTCACTTTTTCTTTTATGAAAACACTTCAGTTTTCATAATGGAGAAAAGAGAAATGTCCGTATAGGACAAACTGACTAACTAACTAACGTTAGTTACAAATGAAAGTGGTAAAAAACATAGAAAGTTTAATTTCTCTTTTCTTCATTATGATTTCCTACCACGTAGTAATGGCTACATCAATTTACTTCAGTTTTCGTCTAGGAGGCCACCAGTCATCTCAATATGACTTTCACAAATAACAAATCTATTATCGCACTGACGACCTCGTCGAATCCGTCGACATCCAGCCTGGTTACTGGCGTAAGAGGCCGCAAGTCCTCTCAAAATGTCTTTTACTTCAATATTTATTTGACTTGACAACACCTAACTTTTGGACTCCACTTCGACCACGACATCCACGTGCCATCTTTAAGGAAGTTCCTGAAGTTAGCTAGTCTGCATTTTAGTTTTTTGAAAAGTTACCAATAGAGTAAAAGTAAAGACATCTACGTATCAAATTATATAAAAGAACAATTTGTTCAGGTCAGTCTCAAATTACCTACACTGTAGGTTAATGGACTGACACCTTTCAGAAAACAACTATTCCCCTGGCTAATACCGCGAAGGGCGTTGAATTATATCCGACAGGTGACAGGGCAGGATTCTTCACTGAAGTTATTCCTGCATATGCTGTTGGCGATACAACTGACGCAATCGATTCTCAATTATTGGAAATCGATTACTTTGAACAGACCACATATATGAAAATATTCACAATCACCTTTTGATAAAATAGAAGGTAGCTACTCTTTTTTCCTTTCAGTTCAAACTCCGCGCGCGGTTCTTTCGAATATTGGATCACGAAACGCAGCAATCGATAAAATTCTGTCACGGTTGCCACAAAAACATTTTCCAGTAACCACCGCTCAAGTATTCGAACATTATTCAAGCGGGACAAGCGAGACCCCCGTCCCGGGACGAAATTAAATCAGATTAGATTTCAATTACCCACCTTCATGCAGCAACTTGGAAACATTCGATCTCGATAAGAAGTGTTGAAAGACCCTGACGCCGCTCTTCAGGAACGAAAGTACCTCCATAATATTCTCTACGAACGTGGTGTTCGATTGATTTTTACTGCTCTCCTTCGTCGCTGCGAACGACGTCACATCGCTGAGCTTTCCCTGCGACGCGTTTCTTTTTATTGGTTGCTCTTGCGGAAAGAGGAAGTTATCGAGGACTACTAATAAACCGTTCGGGACCAAAACTTTTCTTTCTATAACGTTTGCATCGTTGGCCTTGAGTTTGCTGTTGTCCTCTTTAGTTGGCCTCACTTTGACGGTGTTTCCTCCCAAAGTTTTGAAGGTAATGTCGGACGTGATGTTCGTCAAGTCGATCAAGGATCCGAGCACCACATGGTCGAGTAGTAACTTTTTCACCAGCTCCGGCTGGTGCAGCAAGTTTTCGGCGCGTTTGGTGGCTGAATTTTGAGGCGCCAGGATGGTGAACGGCTTGTCTGTAACAAAAAAGCTCTATAAATTCAGCAGTTACCACAGACTTTTTGCATTGAGTAACTTCAACCTCTATTCTACCTGTATCTTTTTCATTTGAAGTCGTATTGAAAACATTTTTATCATCACGAATAGTGTTCAAAGACATTCTTGATTATGAAACAAAATAAGATTATTGAAGCAAATCATGGCTTACTTCGATCAAAAGTGAACAATATTTTCATTCGTATTCAAAAAATACCTTTAATGTGAGATTTCCAATTGAAAGTTCACGTGACACGTGTTTGCTATACAATAGCATCTTCAGGCGTCATAATACTGAGTATTGTGACTATACAATAGCATCTTTGGGAGTTACAATACTGACTATTGTGACGGTATACGATAGCACCTTCGGACGTCACAATACTGAGTATTAATTGTGACCCTATACGATAGCATATTCGGGCGTCATAATATTGAGTATTGTGACGGTGTACGATAGCATCTTCGGGAGTTCCAGTACTGAGTATTGTGACGCTATACGATATCATCTTCAGGAGTTATAATACTGAGTATTGTGACGGTATACGATTGTATCTTCCGGAGTTGCAATACTGAGTATTGTGACGCTATACGATATCATCTTCGGGAGTTACAATACTGAGTATTGTGACGCTATACAATAGCATCCTCGGGAGTTACAGTACTGAGTATTGTGACGCTATACAATATCGTCTTCGGGAGTTACAATACTGACTATTGTAACGGTATATGAGAGCACCTTCGAACGTCACAATAGTGAGTATTAATTGTGACCCTATACGATAGCATATTCGGGCGTCATAATATTGAGTATTGTGACGTTATACGATAGCATCTTCGGGAGTTCCAGTACTGGGTATTGTGACGCTATACGATAGCATCTTCGGGCGTTACAATACTGAGTATTGTGACGCTATACGATAGCATCTTCGGGCGTATCATGACGCCCGAAGATGAGTATCATGACGCGATAAGATAGCATCTTCAGGAGTTACAAGTCCGGCCACCCTTACTATGGTATTTTTCAATATATAACTACATGCAGTATCAGATATTTGCGCCAAATGAGCCAAAATTACATTCTTCTTAATAGTTTTGCATTTCTTCATATACATCGGTCGGTCGGTGGCCGGTCGGTTCGACGCGGGTGCCTTGTCCACTCAGTCAAATCGGCCGACGTGTTGGTTGATGATTCAAGCCCCAGGCTGAACGATCGATTTTCACTTACTATCGTCCAACCCGTGTTAGTAATCACACGTTAGAAGGTAAGACCTCGTTAGTCCTTAGCTCGCACAAGTTTCGACTATTGAGGGTTGTCGTTCGTAGAGGTGCGACAGCTGGTTAACGGAAAAATATATTTTAAAGAGATTTTTCAAACATCCATTTCGAGAGTAAATTATAAACAGACATTTTCCCACTCACTTTCGCTAATGCTTTCCATGTTTTATTGCGATAATTGCGAACCCATTCAAACTCTCAAAAACCAAAATGTCAATAATTTTAAAGTCAACTAGCTGTCAGTCGTTAATTCGTTACAATGGTAATGGAAAAATGCTACTTTCCCAAAGAAGTAGGTACTTCCCGGAAAGTTGCCAAAAAAAGTAATTTGTTGCACAGACACCAAATCAGGTCTATACTGGTGGCATGTTAATTGAATTTTTCCTAATAATGAAACACTGTCTAAATGAAACTATGGTTTCCTAGTCATCATCATGAAAGTAAAAGTCATTTCAGTTCTCAGTATTGATTTCTAAAGGATCTGTGAAATCGTGAGTGATATCTCAAAGGTCACGGAAGCACTTGGAATGAAATTTGCAATTAAATGAAATTATGCTAAGAAATTCATTTAATCTTTCTGAATGCCTATTATATTTCAAGATCATCACAATTTGTACAAACATAATGGTTGATTATGATAAACGATGTTGAATTTCATTATTGGATGATTAATGTTGTATGTTAGAAACGACGGTTTCGTAATTGGAGTTTTTGTTTTGTTCGAGCAGATTTCCGTAAATTTCCCCTCTAACCTAAACAGCGTGTTCAATCTATTCAGAAAGGAAATTAGGAATTCAGTTTTTAAGATCTATTACGGATTGTACATAAATAATTTTATTATTAGTTTATTGTAATATAAATATCCTTTACTTTATCGTTTGAACAGAAGAACGATAAAAAAAGAGAAGACAAAACCTCATTTACGATAATTTGTCCACGTAGACCGGGAGCCCGTGACAGAAATTTTGACCCCATTTTTTACCGTCTGCTTTTTTCAGAGGACATATTTACGGCCACAATCAACAGTATTATGCGTTGAACGAATTTTTTTCCATGTTACACATGCTTTAACATCAACTTCAGTTTGCATGAAAAAGCTTCTTTGACCACCATTTTACCGTCTGCCATTCATGCGACCGGAAGGCTAGGTTACGCAACCCACAAAAAAATAATTGGCAGACGGTTACATAGTGTTCTGGCTGAAGTATGAATTTTTTATTTAACCATGCTAACTAACACTAGCATGAAATGAACGAATTTTCAAAAGGCAGACGGTTTGCCGGTGTATTGATAATTTATAGGCATTAGTTAATTAACAATTTTTTTACAGTGTCTTTGAACCATTTTTCACCGCATAAAACTTGGTAAGATATAAACTTCAGTATTAAAAATACGAAGAAAAATTATTGGCAAACGAATAGACCGTGTTTATAAAACTGAAAATTATTTTTCAATTCGTTAAAAAAAGTAATAACTTTTACCGACATTNTTAAATGAACATAAACAAAACTGTAGTTCGTAGGATAACACACAGGTGGCGCCACTAGTATAAAATATATATGATTTTTAGTTAACCCTAACCTTCAAAATATAGTTGTACAAATTTCACAGCTATCAGACTATTAATTTGTGGGATAGAACATTTTTGGTGACGCAACTTTTGTTAGTTTGAACAAAATGGATGAAAAGGAATTTCGTGTTTTGATAAAGCCTTGATTTTTGGCAAAAAAATACTGTTGAAGCCAAGGCTTGGCTTGATAAACATTATTCGGACTCAGCACCAGGAAAATAAACCGTTGAGGAGTGGTTTGCTGAGTTTAAACGAGGTAAAATGAGCACCGATGCTTCCACATCCACCGTATTACCCAGATCTGGCCCCCAGCGACTTTTCCCTGTTCTCAGACCTCTGGAAAGACATTTAACGCCGATGAAGGAGTAATCGTCGAAACTGAGGCCTATTTTGAGGCTAAAGAAAAATCGTGCTATAAAATTGGTATCGAAAAATGGTATGACCACTATGATCATAGTATCGCATTCAAAGGCAACTATTTTGAATGATAAAATCAATTTTTTTAAAAAACATATCGATCATACTTCGAAAATTCCAATGAAAAATAGTATTATGCTATGCAGCAGGTGATTTCCAGGTGAATCTATGTTACTTTCTTTAAACACCAACTGAAACGATTCTGCATTTTTTGAGACGTTACAAAAAATTCATGTTAGGTTTGGACGAGCTCATTCTTGTAGTCAAACTGCAAGTTATATCTGAGATGCATCTGGATTCAGCACACCTCAACGTGAATGCCATTGTCGGAAATCCTTGAGGAAATTCATATCGGCGCTTTTGAGAGTTCTGACTCCGACAGAAACTTGGGAATCGGCGTTCATTATACGCTACAGCTCATCTCTTGTTGTGAATTAAGACGTCCTGGTGTTCTTGACTGATAAAATGATTGATCGCACTTGTGAAAACACTTGCAAATTTCTCTATCGAAGTGTTATAGCTTCCGGGAACTTCATCGTCGGATTTGATTCATTGGATCTACGGGCGGAGAAAATTAATTTATCTCAATTATTGGAGTGACATTCGGTTGTTATCGTCAGAGCCAAGTGCGATGAAGTTTCGCTCAGATTGGGATGATGTGTACAATGGCGGTGGGTTTTTCAGGAATGTAATTATTGACGTTTCGTTCGAATGAATCGAAGTCGTCAGTTTCGAAGTGATTTAAATAACGATCCAATCTACCATGATGGCCTAATTCATTCAATTATCCAATGAATAATCATTAATACATAGAGCCGTAACTTGATGGACATTTTCGTCATTATTGATTTTTTAAAGGCAAAACACAAGCACTATAGAAAAATTCTTGNTTTCCCTCTAATAAAAATTACTAAACATATTCAATTCAGTATTTACATATTTGTCTAATTAATAATGTCATATGTACAGCCTTAAAATATTAATGGCTTGATTTATTTATTAGTTCCATAAGTAATACTCTTGTCAACTGAAATGTATTTTCAATTACATCAAATAAATTGACATTATTACTAAGAATAAAACTGTAAATACTATTTTTTTATATGTTTTTCGATAGTAAACAAATGCTGATACCTATAACCTCTCAATCAGCTCACTTTTTTTCCTTTTTGCGGACGCCCATGACGTTTTAACCACCTTTTTAATTGTTCACAATTATGAGCCTCAACTGAATTATAAACAAGTGAAGCACCATCAATGGTTTTTTCCAATAATTTATTTGTTTGTAGAGATAATATTTCTTGCCCAGTCATTGTTGATTAAAACAGTACGAATGTTTTGAAATACCGTCATTTCAATATGACGGCTACGCTTGCGCTCGTCTTATGATGAAAAGGCCTATGAGCACTTTGGGCAAGTGTTCAGGGCCCCGCGATTGATAGGGGCCCCCCTCAGGTCAAATACAAAATCCATAGTTCCTGTCAGATCACCAAACGATAACCAATATTTATTATCAAAAAACTTATATAATTCGAAGAAATCGAACCTAAATTACTGACTACAACACCAACTTACTAGCGTTTACATGCGCGAAGTTATTCTACTCTCGCCCAAAAATTAGGCTTTCCGACTTCAGCATGCTTAGATAAATTTGAATATATACAAAGCACATACACATTTCAAAGAAAAAATATCAGTAGTACACTCATCAGTGTGACTAGCTCCATTCAAATTGAGCTTCAAGTTTGAATCAACCAATTAATTCAATTGAGAAATTACATAGAAAAATTAAACCAAACTCTCCAAACCAACTCTCCAACCTAACTGACTAAAATGTTCGTGTCATCTTCATTTTCTTC